TGCTGCGGGCCCTGACCTCTAACCCCTGCGAATGTTCCATGCCCTCTTGGCTCCAGGGATTCCAGTGCCTTCTCTGGTGTCTTTCTCTGCGGGGCTCACTCAGAAGCCTTTCCCCAGCGATGGGGGCGTCGTCCTCTTTAACAAAGTGCTGGTGAACGATGGAGATGTGTACAACCCCAACACTGGTAAGCTTGGAGACGGCGCGCTGTCTCCCAACGCCAGTGGGGCCCCCGTCCGGTCTGCTTCCCCAGGGCCTGTGGGTGGGATGGGGGCGCCACGCTGGAGGAGGTGCCTGGGCAGCTGCGGGCGCGTGAGGGACCAGCTGGCCCCTGGTGCACCTCCCCACTTTGTGGGGTTTGATGGAGGCTTCCAGCTCACAGGCTGCAGGGTGGGTGGGTGTGCAGTGACATTTTCTAGTCATGAGATCAGCATACCAGCCCTCGGCACTTGCCGTGGGAAGCGCCGTTCCACTTGTTTGTGGAGGTCGTGGAGCTCTGCCCACCGCCGTTACTGTGCCCCGGCCCCTCCCCACTGTCCCTCCATGCCAGCGAGAGGCCTTTTTCAGTGTCCTGTTGTCTTCACACCGAGACAGGACAGACGGGAGATCAACCCCCTGCCCTGTCTCCTTCAGAAGCTTGTTTATGAACAGAGCCAAGAAAGGGGACAGCATTCTTTCCAGAAGGGGCCAGACCCTGCTTGTGGGGGTCTCCCGCTCTGGAGCAGAACCACTTCAGCTGTGGGCCTGGGTTCTGCCTGTGGCATGTGTGTTGTTCCCCAGCCCCTGACAAGAGTGAGGACCAAGGTCACCTCAGGTTCCTGTGGTGTAGGCTTCCTCCTTTCCATCACACCTGAGCCTGGGCTTCTGTCCATCTTTGTCCCCAGAGATTGGAGTCAGAGCCTTCCTGAGAGGCCAGACACGGGCATCTTGTCCCCTATATGAAGGGAAGGCAGGTCAGGGCCCCCCTTCCCCGCCGAGCCCATGGGCAGCATGGAGGGAAGTACAGCTCCAGGTGGGCCCGGGGCAGGTCAGGGCAGAGCCCCGCTGCAGGTGCTGAGGGCCCACGCAGCTGGGCGGCCTTTCCCGAGTAGCCCACAGACTCTGAGAAGCCGGTCTCTGGGCCCGTCAAGCGCCAGCGTGCTGAGGTGCCCACACAGGTCCTTGCCGAGGGGCTACATGGGTGTGACAGCAAGTGGGAGTTGAGGGAGGTTATGAGGAGGCAGATGAAACGGGATTCCTTCTCAGCAGAGTTTTTAGCCCTCACCCTCATGTCTGCCCTGCGTGGCCGTCTAATAAATCCTACAGTGGTTCTTAAGTTTTAGTGAGCATAAAAATTACCTGCAGAACTTGAAAAAAATGGAACTCAAATATCCTCCAGGCCCATTGAAGTCAAGCGCAGGACTTTTTTTTTTAAGATTTAGAGCAAGGGAGCGAGTATGAGTGAGGGGAGGTGCAGAGGGAGAAGCAGAGTCCCTGCTGAACAGGGAGCCCAGCATGAGGCTTGATCCCAGGACCCCGAGATCATGACCTGAGCCAAAGGCAGACCTTTAACCAACTGAGCCACCCAGGCGCCCCAGGACTCTGCAGTTTTAACCTGCTCTTTTTTGTGAATAATTCTTTTTAACCTGCTCTTGAGGCACAGAGGCAGGCCGGGGTGCAAGAAGGGCCTTTGCTTTCAGAGACCTTTTTTTCTACACAAATACAGCCTCCTCCTGGGCCCTCACTCCATGCTGCCTCAATGGTGGGGTAGGTTGTCCACCCTGACAGGTCAGGTGGTCTTTGCAAGCAGGGATGGTGGCACATTTCTGGCACATTCCAGGATGCCCAGCCCAGATGTGTATTCTCTCATTGAGCAGGTCCTCAGTAAAGGAAATTCTGGGAGACCCTGAATGTGGACTCAGCACAGTCTCTAAGCGAGGAAAGAGGCCATGGGCCTGGAGTGCTGGGACCAGGTCTGTTTTCAGGGTCCACGTTGCCCCTCAGGAGGACTGTGGAGCTTCAGATTACTCACCGTTACAAGCTGGGGAAGAGAGCAGGGTGGCCTGGCATTTTCTGTTTTTCAGGGCAGATGAAGACCCAGCCCCCGAGATTCCTTCTCAGCTCCTGGGCCCTCCATTCTGTCGCTCTTGGCCTGTGGTCAGCGTCCATGTCTAGCCCCCTCCCCACAGCCCAGGGGAAGTGGCTGCTGCAAGCCACCAAACGTTGGTGGGGTCTCCGACCTCGTCTAGCTTTGGGGCCAGTTGTCGCTTTGCAAATGGTCCATCTACAAATCCATCTCCTCTTTCTCATGCCTCTTACCTCCGAGCACTGCTTCCCCAGGCCCAGAACCTGTGGGTCACTGGTTCAATGAATGCCAGCTTATTTCTGGCCATAAATGGATGCCACCTGTATACTGGTCCAAGACAAGGAGCCTGGCTCTTCTGCATGAGGGCTGGCTGTGGTCTCTCCCACAAGCTTTGTGGCTTCTTTTTGGCCCCATCTCCTCAGGAAGCAACTCATACATTTCGTAGATTCTGTGCCCAGCACACACATTGTGAGGCTAATTCTCAGTGGGTCTTGGGGTGCTTTCCATGCTGGAGAAAACTCCCAAATGGCAACCAGAATCTGGGCAGCTGGTGCCACCCCACTAAACCTTAGGAGAGGTAGGAGCAGGCCCCGGGCTGGGCCCCAGCCCTGAGTCTTGACGCCTGTGCTGCACACACAGCACGGTGAAGGCAGGTATGCCATGCTGCCAGGAATGTTAGAGGGACTGAGCTCTCTTCCAGCCAGGCTGGCTAGTTCTCTCCCAGCACAACCGCAGGGGGCAAGTTCTTCTGAAGGCTGCTCTGGGTGGAGGTGAGTTACGGTGATCGTACCACATGCTGGGGGTTTGGCAGTATTTGTCCTCTTCTGGAGGTTACAAGCAGAAGACAGGGTCTCACCGTGAGGATGGGGTTTGTTGCAAAGGGCAGTGCCAGCTAAGGGGGTCTGTCACTGGGTGGGCGTAGGGCAGGTTCAAGTACAGAAAGGGGCTACCTCCCTTCAGATCAGCCTGCCTTCTATGGGTCGGGTGACCAACTCTCCCAGTTTGTCTCCTGGGACAGTCCTGGAAAAACAGATCGTTAGTCTCCCAAATCTGGGTTAACGGACAACCTGTCCCAAAGGTGCTGGGATGGTGTCCCAGGACGCGAGTGTCTGCCTTCCTCCTCCCAGGCATCTTCACGGCTCCGTATGATGGGCGCTACCTGATCACGGCCACCCTCACTCCTGAGAGGGACACGTATGTGGAAGCTGTCCTGTCGGTCTCCAATGCCAGTGTGGCCCAGCTGCATACGGCCGGCTACAAGAGGGAGTTCCTGGAATACCACCGGCCCCAAGGGGCTCTGCACACTTGTGGGGGCCCGGGGGCGTTCCACCTCGTCGTGCACTTGAAGGCAGGAGATGGTGTCAACATCGTGGTGACTGGGGGCCGGTTGGCTCACACGGACTTTGATGAAATGTACTCCACGTTTAGTGGGGTTTTCTTATATCCTTTCCTTTCTCACCTCTAGGGTGGCTGGGGAAAGGTACTGGGAAAGATAGTCGTAAAAACTGGGAAGCTTTAATATATGCAGTTTCTGATGTATGTAACTGGAGCACTGATCTAGTTTTCTGTGAACATCCCAATCCCTCCCCTGAGATTCAGGCCTGACGTGGCTGCTGAGGCCACACACCTGAGTGTTCCCCAGCGGGTGGCAAGGACACGTGCCTGACAGGGCCACGGCCTGCTGTCGCTGCGCCCAGCTACCTGAGGAGCAGGGTCCTCCCTCCCCGGCGGCCTCCAGTGCTGGTGCCGCATCGGCAGGAGCTCTGCTCCAGGGGCCTGCATGGGGCCGATCGGGTGCCCACTGCGGAGCGCGACCTGCTGCTGGAGGAGGGAGAGCTGCTGGGCTACAAGGCGGAGGGGATGAGGGCAGGCCAGGTGGTGCCGGTGGCCACAGTCTTTCTTTATTCACAGCGCCTGCAGGAGAAGGTTAAAAACTCAAGGGCTGAAGCCGCACGTGCCACCACAGAGACCTGGGGGCAAGGTGCAGGCTGGCCTGGGCTGGCTCTGCCTTGTGCTCCGGGCCCTGGCCCAGCGGTACAGGCGGGCCGGGAGACTGTGCAGCCTGTGGGGCTCCTTGAATGACGTGTACATGTGAAGTGCAAAGACAGGGAGTGTCAATAAAGATGTAAAACCACTTCAAGTTAGTTACTAAAGTGTGGTGCCTTCTGGATTGAAAGGTGTTGCTAAAAACAAACTGCAGAAAGGTAATTGACTTTTTTAAATGGCTGTAGAAAGCAAGCTTGTATAAATCAATCTCAACCATATAATTGTTACCCCTCACTATGCAAGCTACACACTTGGGTTTTGTTTTTTTTTTTTTGCTTATAAAAAACCAGATGTGCTTGGAGGTCAAGGCCCCCCTGTGATCCCCACAGCTAAAGAGGGGCTCCTCCAGGGGATGCTTAAAATTCTCATCTCATCAGCAGCTGCCCGAGCTAATGAGCTTGCTCGCTGCACAGTTCACAGCAGATGCGGCTTTAAGGACTCTCAGGTTCCCAGGCAACAACAGGCCCAACATAAAACTGATCACACTGAAAGCTGAGATCATCGGAGAAAAGCAGGAATCTTCCCATGGAGAGCACGTTCTGTTCCAGGGAAGCCCAGGCATGTTGCTCCTTTATCAGCAGCCAAAGAAACCTCTAGGACACAAGACCCTTAGCTTCAGATGGTCCCTGCTCATCAGGTTGGTAAAATCTGTTGGCCAAGTGCCCCTGGGGAGGCAAGTCCCCCTAAAGCCCCAGGGAAAGATGCGGATCAGAGAAAAAAGTTTCCTGGGCCTGAAATCAAGCCACTGGATACTTTTATGCTATAAAAAAATGCCGTGAGTTTCCAGGACGGCTTGCAAATGAGGTAACAGAGTGGCCACTGGACACTTCAGACAGGGGCCTTCTTTCTCATTCCCTTGACCCAGGTAGGGAGAAGTGACCAAGAACCGCCAGTTTGTGGTTTTAGGACTTTAAGATCTGGATCTCTCTGTCCAGGAATTGGTGGGAGTTGGGAGCATTCTCTTCCCCTGTTTCAACAGCTGGGGAACTGGCTAAAGGTGGCTGTTAAAGAGTCTGTCCTAGAAATGACATGGGAAAAACCCCAATGCAGTGGAACATTTTCAGGAAAACCCAGTTGGCACATATACCTACTTTCGCCCTCACACCCCCTATAAAGACCTTAGCGCCAAAGGGGACAAATGCTCAACAGCCAGAAAAGCAGGGGCCAGACAGAAGGGAGACAGTGACTATTCTTTCTGCTCTCTGGATGGTTCTCTAGAGCACTGAGTAAAGCTTGGTCCTCCTCAGTGCACCCTCCTTTACTGAAAAAGGTGAATTTCAGCTCTGTGTATCCAAGATCGGCAAGGTAAACTAAGTCTAATTACAGCAGTCCTGCGTTTACTTCAAAATAAAACAGAACGAAAGCTACATCAGGGCTCCTTCAGAAGATGGCATCTTTCTGGGGCGCCTGGGTGGCTCAGTCGTTAAGCGTCTTCCTTCGGCTCAGGTCATGATCCCAGGGCCTGGGATCGAGCCCGCATCGGGCTCCCTGCTCCGCGGGGAAGCCTGCTTCTCCCTCTCCTACTCCCCCTGCTTATGTTCCTTCTCTCGCTATGTCTCTCTCTGTCAAATAAATAAATAAAATCTTTGGGCGCCTGGGTGGCTCAGTTGGTTAAGCGACTGCCTTCGGCTCAGGTCATGATCCTGGAGTCCCGGGATCGAGTCCCGCGTCGGGCTCCCTGCTCAAAAGGGAGTCTGCTTCTCCCTCTGACCCTCTTCCCTCTCGTGCTCTCTCTCTCTCATTCTCTAATAAATAAAATAAAATCTTTAAAAAAAAGAAGATGGCATCTTTCAAAAGGGAAAGGCCATCCTCTGGTACAGAGAGAAAACGCAAGGTCAGCTGAGCTCAGGACTCCAGGAGCTCTGGAGCAGTCCCTTCCAGGGGTCCACAGGCCTTAAGCTATGTGCCTGCGAGTCAGGCGTATGGACCCCGCCCAGGACACGACTTCTCAAAGACGCTGTTGCTGAGAAAAAGGTCAGGGCACTAATGTACAGACAGGACTGGGACATTTTTTTCTCCCCCACATGTAACATTAGCAAAAGGCCTCATTTAAATGATGAACAACAAAACAATACCAGCACTAAAGAATGCAAATCAATGCACACCGCATTGGCAATTATTTCCATGGTAGCGCATTAACAGAGCTTTCCTCGGTGGCCCTATCATCTTTCCTGTGGTTTCTCACAACTGGTTTGAAAGGAGTGTTTGTGATCAGAGGGACAGACCCAATCCACGCTTGAAGATCTACAACATGCCTTCACATACACATGCACCCAGTTCCTGAACACGTTTCCTTCTTCCCCTACACTGTCCTATCAAGGAAAGGAAAAAGGCAGACTCCACTCTTAGGAGCTGCGGGGATGAGCCCTTACTGCGCCACCCACTCCACCCCCAGGCACTGGAAGCCAGCTCCTTCCAGTCAGCGTCCCTCTAAGTGTGTCTATCCCCTACGTACACCCCAAAGACCCCCGGTCCCCTCACCCTGTGCTCATGTCAAGGCGAAGCAGAAAGACATGACAAGCTTTCCCATACTTAAAGGTAGGCTCTCAAGAAGGGCTTTGGGATTCATGTCCAGCATATGCTGCATCTGGTAGAGCCCAGCCATCTGAGGGGATAAGATACTCAAATAGTATGTGGGGGTGTGATTTTTGATCCAACATCACTTTGACTCTCCTAGGCTGATGAAACATCAGAACTGCTAAGTGGTACTCACCCGGAGGGAGGGTTTAATGAAAGGTGGGGTGGCAAAGGCTCTGAGCAGGCCTCCCGGGGGGACCCCTCACGGGCTGAGGGGAACCGGCCTAGAGGATGCCAGTGAGAACACACCAGGAATTACGTATGTATGAATGAATCATTCTCTGGCAGAACCTACAAAGCAAGAGAGGTTGGTTGCTGTGGGTGTAGCCTCACTTTTGGAGTCAGGTTTTATAAAAATAAGCACCAAAAAGAAGTCCTTTCTGTAGATGAATTTAAGTGTCAGCAAAGATCAAAATGCTAATTTATGGAAATTATCAGTTTCTGGCAAGAGTACAGAGAATACGGTTTAAACGTCCTCTGAAGGAAGGAGTCAAATGCATTCAGTTTACGTTTGTTTATTGTTGTAACATCTTGTTTTGAACATCAGACACTGCACCAAAATAGGAGCCATTTATCTTAGGATAACTGTCTTTGCCATGACTGAGAGTACTGTACTGATGTTTACAATTAACTTCTGACAAAACTTATTAGTGGCATTGCTAATAATCAAATACTTCATCAGACTAAATGTAATTATTAAATTAAAACAACGAAGTTTCCCCCTCCCTTTCTTACCTTCAAAACAAACCAAAAAAGTAGTTTTCACCTGGAAAGAGCACTTAAACAAAAACTCAATTTTTAACTGGTTTCATTAAACACAGCATGTTCTAAAACAGGAAAACAAGGCTTCCCAGAGTAAATAGGATACATAAAAAGATGCTAAAATTCCCTGGAAGAGTTTGTTTTCACCAACTAGCAAAAGGAGAAAGCATTTACTTTCTACTTATCTTTAAAGGTCTTGCCTGCACCTTCAAGAACATCGTCCCAAAGGGCTGCGTGCACTCCTACAGGGCACAGGCACTTTCTGGGCATTTAGCTAGCTGTTGTTCCTCAGCTGTTCTGTGACCGTTAGCAGCTTTCATTTTAGTACATCACATCAGTAAGTTTTTTTTTTTTCCAGTTGAAAACTATGCAGATGGTTTTAAGCACAGCAAACACAGTCCTCACACACAGGGGCTAAGTGTGCATGCTCCGGGCCCACACGTGCCCTTCCTAACGCCTGCCAGGGACGCAGATGCCGACACCACAGCCAGACAAGCTTCAGCACGTGGGGAGCAAGGCAAATACTCAAGTCAGGTTGAATTGGAGAGAGGGAAAGGGGCCAAGGCCATTTCACCAGTGGAACATCCGAGAGAATGACTTCAAAAAGCCCAATCTGCTTGCGATCACCCCGTGACCTCGCCCATCACCGAAAGCAACACGGGGCTAACGCTTCTTCATTAGCTCACCATTAGAAGGGTCTGTGTACAAACACACTCGAGGGTAACTCTTTCACAGAAAGAACAAATGTCATTTGTACCAAATGGCAATGGGTTTCAGCACAAACTTAATACTTTCATAACACTATAGTGAGAATAATCATCCACTTTCAGCAAGAGGGACTCCTTCAAATAAGGAAAAAGATTCACGTTAATTAGCGAATGTAGTACCCACTGGATCTGCAGCAACAGAACGACAAAGTCTAGTGCTTACGGACACTGGGACAGAGGGGCCAGCCACTGTTGGCACAGGGCTGGGACACCCGGGCTCCTGGGTTGGACCTTCACGAGGCCCATATGTCCACAGAGAAGAGCTTATCAAGGAAAAGGAACTGTCTAATCAAAAAACTCTTTAAAAGACAACCTAAAGAAGACTACAGAAGGTTGAGAAGATTTCCGGTACCGCATGTGTGCAGAGAAGCCCTAATAAGCTCAGGTTCAGTGCAGAAAGCTCAAGTCCCTCCTGGAAAACAAGCGTGGAGAGGACATATGGGCGGCGTCTCGGAGGCCACCAGCTGCACCGCTGCTCTACCAGGATTATAAGTCACTAACTGGGCAAAATCTCCCAGAAACATAACCTAGTTTGCCTAACCTACTGTACATAAATAAAAACTCTTCACACGATTAGTCCTTGCACTATTGAGAGGGGGGAAGGTTTACGCTGGAAGCAGCACATGTTGGTCCTCTGGGAGCATGCACCTCCATGTTCTGCCACTGAGAGCTGCCTTTGGGGGGGCTCTACCACAGTCTCTGCACCCAACAGCACGCGGAGAAATGGCCAAACTACAGGGACTGCCAACTCTCCAATCTAGAAAAATAACCACCCCCATTTCTCCACCTTAGGTCAGTATTACTTGGGAGGGACAAACTACATGGAGGAGAGCGAGGAGAGCACTGCAGTGCAAGTCCCGGGCAAGCGGAGGTGGGCACGGAAGCAGCCTCCAGCGGGCACCTGGATCCGCAGCTCCCACTCTATGCTCTGGGACCCGGCTGACCGCTTCCCTTCCAGCTGAGGCCTGTGTGCGCGTGGAAGCCTCCTCTCTGACAGTCCTCTGGATTCTAACACCGAGGTGACCATCAACACCCAGGCTCTCAGTTCTGGAAGGGCTCACAGGGCAGACCCTCCCCTGGGGCTGTCTGCTCGGACCACCGTGACTCATTACAACCAGGCTGGGAGACAAAGCTGCAGGCAGAGGGACAGAGAAAAGGACTCTTCCAGGACCTCGCACGAGTGCATATCTGCATTTCTAAGGCCTTGCTTGTCATCCAATCAGCTCCCACCTATAGTACTCTACTTACGGGCACCAAGCTCATCCAGCAAGACCTGTCTGCCCGACTGAGTCCAAGACAAGAAGGCGATGATCTAAGGGGCTTTTCTTCCCCAGAAGCCCACGTCTGTGGGGCTGGGGTCAGTGGCCCAGGCCCCTGCCTGGAGCAGCCCACTGAGCAGACATCCTGTTTCATGGTGGCATGGAAGGAAGAGCCCACGGAAGAAACGTGCACATGTGGTTTGAACCAACATCACTAACTGGACCTGTAGCAGCTCACTGGACCCTGATCCCCTAAAGAAAGCCCTGGTTTTAGAGAGAAACACTCTCAACTGCCCAGTGGAAATTTTAACACTTTACTTTATACATGTTTTGGTCCCCTCTTATTTAGTTTTTTTTCCTTTTAAATTATCCAATTAAAGGAGCACCAGCACACACTTAACACAGCGCGTGTATGAGGACGACCAGTGACAGGAGCCCAGGCCTCCAACCGCAGGTCCGAGCTCCCCACCTGCCCAGGGCTCTGAGCAGCAACCCTGCCAGGCCCGGGAAGGGGAAGGAGGACAACAGTTCCAGTGCCAGGAGCTCTCCCAGTGCCTGCTGGTGCCTGGCTGTCAACACGTGTCTTGTCCTGCACCTGTGGCTTGGAGGGTAGCCCAGTGGCCTCTGTCCAGCAGAAGTGCTGGTCACCTTCCCTTGCTGTGAGGCGTGTGCCTGAGGACCTCCCTGGGAGGTGCCGCTTCATGCCAGGTCATCCAGGTCCACTTGGGGGATCGGGTCTCGCCAGTAGCAGAAGGAGCTGAACTCCGGGCAGGGAAAGGCGGAATTCTGTTCCTTGTTGAGAAGCGGGAACACATGCTCCACGAGCTCGCTCAGTCTGTGATACCTAGAAGGGGTTGGGAAAGAACAGCACAAACTGTCACCCTGAAGTGACGTCAGAGCCCAGGACTGTGCGCTGTGAAGCTACTGAGAGGCCTCAGAGCAAGGTGTCCATCCCTTCCCAGGGCACAGCCCTCCTCTTCGTCGGCGATCCTGATACAGATGCTATTACAGAGAAGAAAACACCCAAGCAAAGAGGAAAGCCTCCAAAAGGCAGATGCAGTTCTGCTATTTCGAGGGTGGCCTGATCCTCAGACTCTCTCTGTCCCCAGCTTCACCCCTGGCTGTGGGTGGTGGGCTGAGAAACAAGAACACACTTACGAGGACTTGTTTCCTTTGGTCCTTTCTTGTATTAATTCACCCTTGGGGTTCACGGTGAATATTCTGCAGTCTGGAACTCCCACTTGTGTGTAAGCATAGACATCCTGGACAAGAAAACATTAAACATGGTGATTACGAGAGAAGACATTAAGAGATGCTTCTCTGGTTCTTCGTGAGCCAGAAGAACTGCACAAGCAGGAGACGGTGTACAACATGTGGAGCTGGCGCAATGCAGCTCTGCCCCTGAAGCTGAGCTCTAGACAAACCTGAACTGAAGGGGGGAGCCAAACCCAAGACCACTAGAGTCAGAACCCTGGGCGCTGAGCAGAGGCCAGGAGCCCGGGAGCAGGCGGGGCTGCACTGCCTGCCAGAGGCCGGAGAGCAACAGCCCCTGCGTGCCTAGAACCAGAGGCCCCGTCTGTGCGGAAAGGCTGGGAAGCATCAGGGAAGGCTGAGCGCTCTCTGGGGTGGATCCAAGGACACGGCTTAGAAGCACTTAGAACAGGAGTCAGAACTACCTGAGGAGATGGAATCAAATCCACAGAAACAAAGTGCCCTTTCTCATACACCAAAACTCTAGGGCAGATGTCCACCTACAGGACCTCCCCAACTGCAGAAATTTAGAATAGAGATAATGAAAACCCATTCAGCAGAACATTCATTTTGCTTATACAACTGGTTTGAGAATCATGATGTGGCTGTACCCTAAAAAATACACTCCTCTGAATTTTACCCACCACATCTCAATGTGTTAGCCCAGAGGAGACACTTACATTTGGACGGTTTCCAAAGGCAGCATAGAAGGGCTGCTTAGATGGGGCAAACAGATTCTTGATATCATTTAGACACTCAATTTTGAATTTCTCTGGCTTCTTTTCTATCACTTCCCTGGGCAAAAAAAATACAAATACAATGACCAAATTAGAAATGGTAATTTTCCCTGGTGTGTGGTCCTGAAAAGACTTTAGTGCTCACAATCATTTCTGAAAATCTTTTATAACTAGTATCTCTCTTTCCCCTTCTGTGCCAGTCAAGAAAGACTAAGATTCTGAGTGAGGGGTTTAGGGAAGGAGTAAACTTGACAGCTTGACTTTTTTGGATGTCTGACACAGACTGGGTGAGTTCAGAGTTAAAATGCTCTGGGGGAGCCCAAGAACCAAGAGATGCAGAAGCTTGGAATCACATACAAACCCTTACAATGAGTTTGACTTCCAACCTCCCCACCATTCAGACCCCTTCCCCCAGTGTGAGTGGGCACGCGAGCGTGCGCAGGAGAGGTACCTGTGGAAGGCAGAGAACAAGCTGCTGGGGGACAACATCAGAGGGCCCCGAGGTAAGATTGTGCCCTTGTCATTGACCCAGTGCAGGTAGCCACGGGTCATGTCAGCCATGCCGATGGCACGAGCGGAGCAGTACAGAAACTTGTAGCCGTTCCTGAAAGAGAACATGTCCTATTTAAAAACATTCCTTGGCCAAAGTTTAAAAAAAAAAAAGCACTATTTTTTTTTTTGACATTTCATTTTATTTTTTAAAGATTTTATTTACTTATTTACTTGAGAGAGAGAGGGTGAACGCCTGCACACACAAGCAGGCGGAAGGGCAGAGGGAGAGGGAGAAGTAGGCTCCCCGCTGAGCAGGGAGCCTGATGCAGGGCTCTATCCCAGGACCCCGGGATCATGACCTGAGCCAAAGGCAGATGCTTAACTGAATGAACCATACAGGTGCCCCAAAGCAGCACTGTTCTTCTAAAAGATTCAAATACATCATGATGTATTGTATGGTGACTAACATAACATAAAAAAAAAAAAAAAAAAAAAAGATTCAAATACAGTTCCTTTCATTCATTGTGAAAATCAAATTCCTGAATTTAATAAGGACAGCAGTTAGGATTATAAGGATCTCAATTTTCCATGGAAAACACCATGGAGAAAAATAGAGATATATGCAACAAGGCATTTGCTAAATTTACAAGTATTGATATATCTTCGGCATCTAGTCCATGAAAGTCAGATTACAGAACAAAAATCTTGGACTATCTTTAAATTATCTGCCATAAAGGAAAGACGCAAAGGATCTTATTTATAAAGACAATTTGTAGAATGCAAACCACTCTGTAAGACAAGGAGCAAAATCACACCTGGGTAACGGACATAAAATTTCCCTATTATGGCATTCTCAACTAATGCTTAAGACACTGAGTCTTCAAATCAATTTTAACTCATACACATTATGGTCCACAAAGGCCAGATAGCTGTTTTCTCTGTTGCCCCAAAAGAGAGGACCACATGGGTGAAATACTTCCCCCATGCATGCATGTATTACCTACTCAGTGAAATCAGATTAAAAAAACCCCAATAAACCAAAAATGAAAATTGGCTCTCCTGGTTAAAATAAAGCAAAGCACCCCCCGTCCCCAGGATAGCTAGAACTATAGATACAGGTAGTGCCTATAACTCCGAGCACTGTGCAGCAGGGAGGAGATGACTGAGACATGTAACGCAATGACTAGCACACAGCTCATGTTCCACAAATGGTGGCTGACGCTCTTCTTTGTGTGAGGCTACTCGAGCACGGGGACAAGTGGGGCGGGATACCTACTCGTTGATGGAATGGTAGAGCTTTGCTATACCCTGATGAGTCCAGTCTTTACCCAGCTGTGGAAGAATCTGCCCTAAAGCATCAGACCTGAAAGGGTAGAAAGAGGAAATGGTAACAGGAAACAAAGCACACAAAGCCAAGTGTTTTCCTATTTAAATACCAGCTGCTAAAAACCATCGGGTAGAGGCAGGGTCGGGGGACAATCTAATCTACAAGGGCAACTTTGTCATGGCTTGTGCAACAGTGAGGCAATCCCCTGCACACCCACCCACCCACCGAGGAACTTCTAAAAGTAGAAGCCAGACGTTCATTTTCAGAGATAATTTACAACCACACATCCTCTTTTTTCCTCCCTAATCGCAACACCTTCTTACTTTTTAAAATTTTAATGCCACAACTTGGAGACCAAATAACTAAAGCTTTCCAAAAGTTAACTTCAATGTTAATTTGTATGCCTCCACCCATCTTCTTCATCCACAGAATGATCCTGTGTGTGACCACGTGTGACCTTAGCATACAAGTCTCAGTGCAGAGAGTTTTAAAAACTTCCTGATGGTGGCCAAGGAGGGACCCCCCGATTCCACCCCCCAATGCAGAGCGGCCTGCACCTTGCCCGCTGCTGCCCATCATGGGCCCGTGCTTACTTGGTTATTGTTCCATCAATATCAGAAATGATGACCTTGTCATTCCAGTTCCACAAGTAAATGGTTCCCGCACAGCGGCAGGTACCTTGATACTGGGTTGTAATACTAAACACAACATCATTTGGGCCATCTTGGAGCTTCAGTTTTGCCTTTTATAAAAAGTAAAAGAAGAAAATCATAGAGGGATAATTTTGAAAATAATGGTATATCACTCTGATGGAATTACACGCAACAATTAAGTCAGTTTCCAATAATATGTAGTCCTTGAGAGATTGCTAAGATATAATGTTAAGTGAAAAAGGATCCTAATCTCTAAAATATATGAGTGTGTGAGTAAATGTATAGTGTGTGTGTGTGTGCGCGCACGTGCGCGCGCAGGGGGATGTATAAGGAAAGAAATACATAAATATGATTACTGTAATAATAAAAAAAAAAAATCAGCTGAAGGAAGAGTTTACAACGGAGTCTGAATATTTACAAAATCACCACCAGTGTTTCAGGGCCTCAGCTCAAGGCAGAATGGTTTCTGTTGCGCTGGCATGCACCCAGCCCAGCACTGCATGCAGAGCTTGCTCACAAGAAGCTGAGGGAGCCACTGCCTGAATGATGTTCCGGAATTCTAAGAGATTTTTCTGATTCCCCCAAGAAACCAAACGTCTCTGCTCCTCCTCCATACCCTAGGGCACAGCAAGACCATTTCAAACTGAAAACAGGGGAAAAAGAGTGGGAAACAAACAGGAAAGAGGAAACTGCACCTAAATAAGAAAAGGTAATTTCTCTGTGGCTCCTAAAAGACAGTGTATGGCCCAGTGATGGGCTGGCTGGGCAAGATTCATCTGGGAAACAGGTTAAAAATACAGATCTCTTGGCCCATTCCTAGAAATTGATGTGGGAGGTCTGGGGTCCACGTCCCAGGTTCCCCAGGTGATCCCCAGGGAGGGAGATGCTGTCCTACAGTGTGTGAGCGTTTACATGAGCACACACTGGGTCCTGTGTGCAGGGCTTAGGATAGTGTGGACAGAAGAGGAAGCATGGCTAATTAAACAGTTACTAAAATAAGTTGACTGGATCCACACGGATCACACACGACTCACAATCTGGTCCGAAGAGAGTCGAAGAGACTTCTTATATGAGGTCGTGCCGCCATGGCTTGGGGGCTCTGTGGGAACAGGGTCCACTTTGATGGACTCTTCGAGCTCCTGTGACCCCTCATCACTCGATGAGTCATCCTCAGTCGGCCTATTCAACAGCAATCCAGTTACTCAAAAGGCAGCAGGGCATTTTACTAAGAAGAGCTTTTCATTTAGGATCAAGAAGAGATCCTAAATCCATTCTAGGGATTGGAAAAGTTGTTTCCTCTGTTTCCTGAGTATTCCTATCATGAAGTGAGAAGGCCCCCCTCCTCCTCGCTCTCATGACTAGCCAGCAGTGACAGTCTGGCCATGACTGATTATTTTCTGCTATGACTGGTGAATGCTACTAGGTCTACTGACTCTTGCTGAAAAGATACGGACGTTTCAAAAGATGCAAACTGCAGAAAATGTAATTGCTTACACAGATTTTAAGAGTAAGAAAGATTTAACCCCTTTAACAAAAGAGGGCAAAGAGCAAGAAAATGAATGCTCAGGCTTAGACCAACTACTGAATTAAAGAGCTGGAGTGGGAAAAGGAAAGAATCTGGTTGGCAAAGTACAGCAGGAACGAGAACAGGGTGCATGGTAGCACCTTCAGCCAAACCAAATATCCAGAGGGGTGCTACTTCTGCTAAGAAATGAAACGGACCCACACCAATTTTGGTATTTTTAAAAAAATTTAATTTTAAGCAATCTGTATATCCAACAGTGGGGTGCGGGGGCTGGAACTCATGACCCTGAGATTGAGACTTGTGTGCTCTACTAACCAAGCCAGCCAGGCGCATCTTTAAACTCTTCTGCATCTCCCTTTTGCGCCTGACAGGAAGCCAGGGAGCAGGGGCCAGGGACAGCACATCTTAAGGCTCCTCAAGATCCCTTCCCAGAGGCCTCCATTTCACAGGCATCTGATTCCATGGCTCCAGGATGGGAGCAAGACATTTAAAAAGCAGTGATGGGTATATTTACTCCTCTGATTATCTTTTTTAGAAAAGCAGAAGTTATGCACCAACAAGCCACTTACTGTCATGGTTGTCCATAAGAGAAAGATATTTCTGACTAGAAATTAAACAAAACTGTCAAAATCAATTTGAATACAACGGCTAAATAGCCTAAGTGCTGTGAGCCCAGAGGAAAGAAAGGGTGCCCCACCTGCCACTGGCTGGCTCCTTTGCGCTCGATGCCAGGTCACTGGTTGGCGGCATATCAGATTTCCCTTCCTTGGCCTCTGGCAGCTAAAATAACAAGATAATAATGGCAATGTGCAATTTTTCCCTCCCAGCGACTGACAGGTAAAAATGTCTCAGCAGCCCTCTCTAGGAATGAGCAAAATGATTTTCTAAATCCACAACTTAAAAATGCTTAAGAAACAGACTTTCTCTACTTTGAGCCAAAGGACAGAAATCTGAGACAGAAGTCACATGCTCCCATGCAAGAAGCTGCACTACAGAAAGCCCCAAGTAAAAATTTTTAAAAGGGCACTATTTCAAGTCACGGAATAGAATTCAACAGGCCCACACTCATTAGTCTGTGCCAGGGACACCAGTACTACAGAATGCAAGTTACTGATGCCACTGCCACCACCATCTCCTCCTTGGGAGGAGAACAAGCTCTTGCTTCTGTCTGGAAGGTAATGTGGTGAGCAAAGCAGAAACACAACAGGCTTTGGAGCTGGACTCACGGCCAAACCCTAGCTCCATCCCTCTCCAGTTGTGTGCGCTGGGTGAAGCGACTTCACCTCTCTGTGCCCCAGTTTCTTTGCCTGTAAAGTGGGAGCTCAGACATCTCTACTGTCGGGCTGCAGTGAAGGTGTGGGTAAAATAAAGCATCTAGCATGGTACCTCCACATCTAACTGTTCAAAAATGGGGACGCTCACTATTGTAACAGAGTATTATATAGTCCAAACTGACTTACTTGTGCCTGGCAAAAAGGTTTTTTGAATAAATCAAAGAGTCACTTCTTTTCAGCCCATGGAACAAATTACCTCCTCCAGGTCTGTTACCTGTTTCGTCATGCTTTCTCTCTTACGCCAAAACCACCAGCGACCAGACTTCTTTGGCATTTTATCTTTGACCCAGGACTCGACTGTGGCCTGGAAATGATCAACTTGGGTCAGACTAGCCATCTGTCACAAAGACCCAACTACTTTCTACCATCAGCCTGTAGGATGGTGCCTTATCATGGAATGTGAGCAACATTCTCCACACCTCCCCAAGTCCTCTAGAGTCTGTAACACCTCCGAAAGGCAGGCAGTCCTCTTTTGTGATGGTACAGCTTCGTGGCGGGTCTGTGGTAGGAGACTGGGTGGTCTGGCTATAGAGGAGCAGACAGTGGGGGGGGGGGCTGCCAGGTGGGCTGTTCTCATTTCTTTACCCTTGGAAAACATGTTCTTAAGACCAGCTAGGCGGATAGATTTAGAACTTTCAAATTTTACACCATAGACTTATTAGCCACAATGTAACCCAATCACACTGATATCACACTTCTGGTGGCCACATCACCTTCTTCTTGCTGCTTCTTTCCATATTAATGAGGAATTTTTTTTTTCATTCATTCTGTATTTAGCCAACAATAAAATCTCTCAACATTTACACCCAGTCAGAAACCAGTATAAATATCTAAGAAAAATGACAAAGATTATGGCAGCCCAGCAAATTTCCTAGATTTTGGGCATAAGATAATTTGAGTGGGCACAAAGAACTCTTTAGATCTTCTCTAATATTAATTTTAAACAAAACTCTGAATAGTACCCAGTTTAAAAATATGTACATATGGATGTTTCTAAATATCTTATGCTGTAGATAGTTTTAAAAAGGAAACGAAATGGTGGATCATCTCACCTTTGGCAGACTCTTCTGGAATACTTGCAAGCTAAGGATCATGGGAGCAGCCAAAGCCCAGTTATAGTAACTGTGGAATAAAAATTGTGCAAAACCATTACACAAAGAAGAGAGTGAGAGAGAAAAGAAAGGGGAAGAGAGGGAGGGAGAGAGAAAAGAGGATGGGCATAGAAACAACGTAAAATTCCTTATTCTTTTCAGTGACAAGATGATCAACCAAATTTTTTGTCACATGAATGACCTTTGCTTCAAGCCAAACTTCTCTGAGCAGAGATGCAGTAAAATATCTAAGATATATTTCAATGCTTCATTGAAAAATAAGGCTGAGGCTTCTCTTTCACTTCAAAGTCACTAGTCCATTTATAGGAGATGGCACATTTTATGGCAAGAAAACTAAGTTAAAAAGAGCACTCTGAAAAAAACTCTGCAAGAGTATTCAACAATTACAAAAGCAGGAGTATTTACCGGTTATATATCCGTATTACAAGGTTAGGATTGTCTATAAGCCCAGGGTTTTCTGCAAATTCATGATAAGTAATGATATGCTCCATGAATTTTTCTGCAATGTAAAATAATAATGATCCTTTGGTTAGAGATTACATAAATTCCTAAATGAGATTATCACAACTCTATGTTGAAGGAACTATAGGATAAAATGAGTCCTTTAAAAAAACCCTTTTTACATTCATCAAAAGCAAACTATCAGACACATTTTTTTTTTACCCAGGACAAGAAAGAACACTTCTCCTTTTTCTAGCCTTCCCCTCTTCCACCACTCCTCCCGCAGTTAAAAAAAAAAAAACAAAAAGCCACAAAAAACCCCCACAAAACCACCACCACAACAAAAGAAACACAAGAGGGATATGCCAGAGACTTTCAGGAAAATAGATTACAGATGTGGCCGGGCGGGGGAGAGGGGAGAGAAAGAGAGGAAGACACAAGACACACGTGTGCGTACACACTCTGGAACAACGAAAACTGCAGTTTCATTCTTAACAAACTTTACTGGCAGGCAACTGTGTAACTAAGGAATATTCATGGGGATCTTACATCTTTAAGTGCATGCTACATTAGAAAAACAAAACATTTTACAATTGCTTGGAGGAAAAAAAACCTAAAAAACACAGATCAGAATTTAGTTTAGGGTCTGTCAAGAAATGAATCCCAAAGTTCTTGAGAAACGAATGAGGATTCTGCATGAATCTGTGTGCTCTGTTCCTAAATTGGCACTCTAGTAGATCTAGGCTAACAGAATTTTCTCACCAGGATTATTTCTCCTGGTGATGTGTATATTAATTACTTTTACTTGCCATTTCTGCCTCCTCCAAAAATTCTAAGTTACCCAGATTTTTTTTAAGTGTAAATTTTATGGTTTATGTAACTGTGTATTTTCCATTCCACCCCCCACCTATAATTTTTAAAATGAAGGCTTATGAGGATTAAGAGCTATTGGCCATAACGGACTCTTGATTTCTTGCAAATAATAAAACAAATAGAATTAAGAGATGGAGAAGAGGCATAATGAGCGCCCTGTGACCTTAATTTTTTTTAAAGATTTTATTTATTTGACAGAGAGACACACAGCGAGAGAGGGAACACAAGCAGAGGGAGTGGGAGAGGGAGAAGCAGGCTTCTCACAGAGCGGGGAGCCCGATGCGGGGCTCGATCCTAGTAGCACCCTGGGATCATGACCTGAGCCGAAGGCAGACGCTTAACTGACTGAGCCACCCAGGCGCCCCCGCCCTGTGACCTTTAAAAAGAGAAAGATTCAGCAAAGCACAATTTTAACGCTCAGGGAACCCAGTCTGCCAAACACAGGACTTCAGCTGCTCTGAGGGGGAGAGAAGTTGTGGAAAGAAAATCTTTCCTTAGAGGAAAATCAATCAGGGGCCACCAGCCAAACTGAGAAAATATGAAGAATTTAGGTTACAAAGGCAGGCAAAACCAGAAAGGCCAAAGAACTTGGGAAAGATACACACGACTGCTTGACCTACCCGAGTCATCTGAATTGGCTCCGCTGAAGATCCTTCCTTTCTCTGGAGCAACGGTACTTTCTGGGGCCAAGTCTCAAGACTGAGACAGAAAGTAACCCCTTCTTCTTCTTACTAGAAGGACTATTTCCTCAATGGACAATTAATTTTCCATAACTTCAGGCCCTACTCTCATGTCTCAGGCCCAGCACTTTCCAGGAGGGCAAGTGGGCCCCAGCCCACATACATTTCAACTTCACAGATGAGAAAATGGACACAGTGTGAGCTGACCCTGACCGCTCTGCCAACAGGGCAGCCTGAAAACGCTCCCTCTTCAAGTGAAATGAGTGCCTGCAAGGCATTCTCAACTTACTCAAGCCATTTATTTGTAAGGTCAACCCCTATGAGGTACCTAAAAATGAGGGGCTAAAGGTCTGATATTAAAGGGAGGTATCTGTTACCTGCACAAGGTCATTAAAGAATTTAATATCCAGCAGATGACCAGGCTGCTTTCTCCAGTGAAGACAAGGTATAATTGCTCGACGTACCTTTGGAAATTTCTCCGTTCTCACTGAGACCCCCACAAAGGGAGAGGGTGACATCTGGCAAGTCCATGGCAGAATCTGAGAGGCACTCGGTGCCGCTATCTGCAGCCGCACTTCCCACGGACTGTGGGGACTGGGAGCCAGAGAGCGTGTCAGACTCAGGCCACTGCCGGGAGCCAGGGTCCGAGTCACTGTGGGCAGCGGACGGGGAGAAAAGGATTTGCCTTATTGCAACTTCTTATATCCCTAGCTTACTACATGGTTCTCTGGGGGCTTGAACCAAATAATATATCCCCTTAAAAAAGGATGAGACTGACCCACAGACACACCTTAGGGTAGAGTTTAGAATATCATAAATGACATTAAAAATAACCTAACAGCACTGCTGAGGAATTAACTGTGAATACAGTAAATATGTCACAAAAATCACTATAGTCATTCCCAGTAAGACAATCTTTTCAACTATAGCCTTTCTGATTTTAATTAAAGGAGTAAAAGACTTATAACCATTTATTTACATTTCCATGATGAAAATGACAGAGTAATTAAGAAAAATCTGATGTTTGGAAACCTCTGATCCTAACTTCCTAGAAAAAGCTGTGGTATTATATACATCCTGTAGAAAATTACTATAGTTCAGAGCTGTCTAGGTTTTTCTAAATTCATTTGTTACTTCGCAAAATAGAACAAAGAAATTAAGCAAGAGAAAATCTGAGGGTAGACCCACCTTCAAACAAAGATTTTGAGAAATAAACTAGAAATAAACTTCTTACACCAGTGAGGTTCAGGACTAAAGGTGAAGTTATTCAATATTTTCATTTTTCTAGATGGTAAACGCATGGAAGCTAGGTTTTTAGAAGATGATCCTGAGGGAAACTTTGTAATGGAGCATAAATCTGAATGAAAAGGAACAGGAAATGGTACAAGTTTCTTATTCATGACTGTTTACTGCTCCACATTCTTTGAATGGACATTTAATGTCACAATGTTCTAAAAGTTTCAAATTCTTTTATTTTATTCAAAAAGCCAATATAATGTTTCAGTGATGTTTTATGATCTTTAGAAAAAAACTCTCAAATTTGAGCAGTAGGTGGCAGCAAAGTATGGATAGGCCATAAATAGCAGCTTCCAAAGCTATTAGGTTTTGCGATTGAACCAACAAGATTTAGGTTTCTGGAAATTTCTTTCTTAATAAATAGCAATGCACACCCAGTCGAAAATATTGAGATTAATTAGATCAACAGAACATTCTTCTCACTGGAAGTGGTGAAAAGCCAAAGCTGATGTAAAGCAGCAAAACCTGTTATGTTGGCGTCAGGGGGTGAGGCTGACCCCTAGGTAAAACACAAACAGAAGACTGGGATGTTTCTGCTTTCTCCTGGGCCCATGGCTAGGTCCCCTTGTAGTCAGATGTGGCCAAGTGATCATATGACCGAATTTTTAGATGTGGACAGAAGGGGTGGGCTGTGCCCTTCTCAAGCCTGGCTCCTGAAAACTCCTGTGTGAGCCTTTCTCTTTTCCCTATGGAGGCTTTAAGGGAATGGTGGAGCCTCAAGATGGAAGAAAAGCTTGTGCTCCTGAATCCCTTACACCCAGGGTGTAAGGTACCTGGCACCAAAAATCAGCACTGGAATACCATACGAGCAAGAAATAAACTTCTATTGTGGTAAGCCACTGAGGTCCTGCGTTTTGTCAGGGCAGCTGGTGTTATCCTAACAAATTAACTTCTAAATACTTGGAGGATGCCATCTGACTCAACATGTTGCCATATCTACAAGAGTGGTGTGATCTATATTAATACTGAGCTATAATTACAAATACTGGATACTTAAGATGACATGGATCACGACAATTAGCAAAACAAATGCTGATAAGCATTACATCAGTCTCACTACCTTTAAGTATTTATGAAATGTCTCAAGAAATAATTTGTTCAGGAAGGAATAAGCTAACTTGGTGAATGGGCAATGACCTTAGGCAGTCAAATTATAATACATCATAGTAAAGTTCCACTGCATTTCACTCTCATTAATTAATCTCTCCCCATTTTTTAAAAGGGAAACTAAGAAATAATCCTTGGAATATCAATAAATAAGCACTGTGAAATCTGAAAGAAAGTGGTAATTCTAAGCTCACATTTTTAACTTCCTTATGAAAAAAAAAAATGGAGCACTTCCAGTTCTTTCACCTTAAAAACCCAACTATTACTTTATGTGAAGAAGAAATTTTAAGACAAATTTAGGGCAGAGAGCTAGGGAAGAGTTTTAAGGACCTTCCAAAAATATCTATAAAAAAAATTAAGTATCATATCCACCCCATCTTTCCATTTTAAATAAAAACTTAGTATGTTTTTCAATAACTTATTTAAAAGTGCTTAATTATGTTTGCCTATAGCTCAGTATATTCAAACCATACCTTCCGTGGGGAAAAAGTAAATTGTTTTTTGTAATCACAGTCTTACAATGGAATTTCCCTAAGGATGGAAATGAACTTAGGAAAACAGTATAAATACACTGTATCTGAGGTTTTATAGTTATTTAAAGGGGAAAATCATGGGGGGGTGACAAATGGTGAGAGTGCTAGGGAAAATGTGGGGTGCACAGATCAGCTGGAATGGTGTCTCACTGGGCCCAGCCCAAGTTCAGAAAAAGCCTGGGAACTCAGACTCACTGAAGGAGTGAAGGCATTCTTTGTAAAATGTTTTTGAATAAAGATATATTACCTTTAAAACATGTAATAAATGAAATAATGCTAATGAACTTTCCCAAGCATGTGGAGTTTGCATTAATGACCGTAAGATGTGCTAATCTGAAGTCATAACCATTGGTATACATTACATAGGTTTAACTAGTATACTACTTCTCATTATACTGAAAATTTCTTTATAAATAGGTAATTAGTTTCAAATCACTACAGTCCAAACAACACACAATTTCTGAATTTCCCAAAATCTGAAGAAATCATCTAACTTAGCTAAAGATCACCATAACCTTGCTTTTTCTCAGAATGTTTTGCTTTAGAAATAGCCACTATATTTCACAGCTATTCACCCTTCAACATCTAAGAAATACACTACCTCTTAGGGAAATAGAGAGCTGCAACTTCAGGTTCTAGAGCCTTTAAGTCATCCAGGTAAATATCATCAGGTCCCTGGTGCTGGCTTCTCTTGTGGACCCCTATTTTTATAAGAAAAATGCATCAGAGGTAAGAACTTAAGCTATTCTTCATTTACAACTCTTCAAGAAAACAAAGGTTTATAAACAGTAAGACCAACCACGAATCAAACTGTATTTTATTTAATTTTTAAAGATTTTCTTTATTTGAGAGAGAGAATGAGCAAGAGAAAGAGGGAGAAGGAGAAGCAGACTCCCCTGCTCAGCAGGGAACCCGATGCAGGGCTTGATCCCAGGACTCCGGGACAATGACCCGAGCAGAAGGCGACACCTGACTCACTGAGCCACCCAGGCATCTCAACTGTGTTTTATTTTTAAAGGTGTCAATTAAACTTTTCCTTGTGTTGGTTCTCAAGCATCCACGCCAATGAAAGAGAAATTTGGTGTTACACACATAAGAGTTGCGCAATAAACACATGCTAATTTCTTTCATGTGCTGTTACATGAATAATCCTAGCCCCTGAATCATTTAACTTCATGATGAAATTTTCTTGGAGTATGAATAAGCATGACCAAACTTGATGAAATCACTGGCACTGAGAAAGGTCATTATTCTAAAACTGAGGGAAGAGCTGCTAGAAACAGGACAGTCACATGGTGCCAAAGTATCACCAACCATTACCTTCTGATTGCAAAAGGACAAAAATCCTTTACAATGGATAAATCTGGCAGACAACACCTTAAACAAGTGGTCACATTTAGAATCACTAGTAGTGGGACACTACGAGATAGTGTATAAAGTACTCAATATATCCCAGAGGTAATCTTCAACTCAAAAAATAAACAATGTTGAACCCAAATCTAATTAAGCCTCTAGATCTGTACTGCCCACTACAGTAAGTCACCAGTGTCCAAGTCTGAAGTGAGGTGTATAAAATGTGTTAAAAAAAATGTAAAACACACACCAAATTTAAGACTTACTATAAAAAATGTAAAGTATCTCAATTTTTATATTGATTACATGTTAAAATTATAATAGTTTGGACTTACTAGCTCAGAATATACTACTAAACTTAATTTCACCTTTTTTTTTAATGTGAGAAGATTTAAAATGACTATGCAGCTCACATTGCATTTCTACCGGGCAGTGTTGTTCTAGAGCTAACTTCCAGTTTAAGGAAATATGGGGATGTCACCTTGAAAAAAAACTATTGATACATCCAGAATGTGAGAAAGCATACAAGAGAATTGGCTGGGCTCTTGAAAAGGTCAGTATCATGGGTGCAGAGGGAGGAAAGAGGTGCAGTGGTGTGGGTATAGGAGAGTGAGGGAGTATGTGTGTGGGCGGGGCTGTTCTAAATTAAAAAAAGGTTAAACACAAGAACCAAATGCAACATGTGAACCTTGATGAGATCTTGGTTTGGGGGCGGGGGGGAAACAAAAAAACCCAGCTAAAGCTTTTCTTGGCACACTGGGGGAAACACGAATATGAATTCTTCCAGATGGCAATGGTCCTGTGGTTATGCAGTGTTCTTATTCTTCCAAGGTGTATCTTACAGTATTTAAAGGTGAAATATCATAACGCCTACAAATTGTTTTCAAATGGTTTAGAACAATAATAAACTGTGTGAGTGGAGACAGAGAAGAAGAAAGCAAATATGTATAAAACTTGATAATAAAAAGCTGGGGGGAAAAAGAATGAAGCCAAATGAATGGCAGAAACCACTCAGTGTTCCTATCTGGTCAGTTCCATACTACATGCTAAGAAGGGGGGGGGGTCATTATTTCCCCCAGGGATTACCATGGGGTAGGAAGTAGGGGTCATTATTTTCTAAACTGAAACAGAACATTCACCCTGAAAACTGGATTTTCCTCCTTACCAGTTCTTAGAACACATGGTTATGGGCCTTTGGTTGGAAAGGTGCTGAGCTACGAAAGAGCAGGTACCAAGGTAAGCTGGATCATCAGCTGGACGATCACATTTGGCCACAAATATCCTTGACAAATTCTTTTATTTTTTTTTTTTTTAAAGATTTTATTTATTTATTTGACAGAGAGAGACACAGCAAGAGAGGGAACACAAGCAGGGGGAGTGGGAGAGGGAGAAGCAGGCTTCCCACAGAGCAGGGAGCCCAATGCTGGGCTCAATCCCAGGACCCTGGGATCATGACCTGAGCCAAAGGCAGACGCTTAACGACTGAGCCACCCAGGTGCCCCAAATTCTTTTAAATAAGTTTTTAAAAAAATTTAAATTCAATTTAATTAACATATGGTGTATTATTAGTTTCAGAGGTAGAATTTAGTGATTCATCAGTTGCCTATAACACCCGGTGCTCATTCCATCAAGTGTCCTCCTTAATGTCCACCACCCAGTTACTCCATCTCCCCACCCACATCCCCTCCAGCAACCCTGTTTGTTTCCTATAGTTAAGAGTCTCTTAATGGTTTGTCTCCCTGTTTTGTCTTATTTTTCCTTCCCTTCCCCTATGTTCATCTGTTTTGTTTCTTAAATTCCACATATGACTGAACTCATACTTCTTTCTCTTGACTAAGTTCTTTCCAAGTAACTCTGAAGGTCCATACCTATAGTGGTTATTTATTCAGTTTGTGATTATTTAACCTTTGGTGTATTTGCAATTTTCAGGTAAGGTTTTACTTCCCTAAAAAAATAGGGCCCAAGGCCAGTGTTCAGACAGTATCTTCTGGCTCCTACTGTACTAAAAAGTGTCAGTGGACAAACTTTGTATTTTTAAATAGTAAGAATGTTCTGATTTATTAAACTTGTATTCCAAAAGTGAGACAGAGCTGTGGAGCCAAGAGTTGGACCCGATCTTTTATGTTTTAGAGGGCAATAATCAATGAAAGAAGAGAACACATACTAAAAATTAGTGTACATTTATTTATATTCCATGTTATTGGGAAAAAAGTGGACTTAATTTGGCCTCAATTAACCAGATGTTTCAGGTGAAAACATTTTTCTCTCATCTAATTTTTTCTTTTTGAACATAAAATTTTGGGGGGATTCCACTTTATTGGCATACTTTGTCATAAAATGGTTAATTTTATGCATTCACTGAACATGCTCATTAACTTTTTCAATAAATGCTTCCCGAGGGTGTACTGAGTAGGAGCAGTCGGAAGAGAGCAGAAGGAAGTGAGAGTCCTGCTCCAGTGGAATCCATAGTGCAGTGGGGAAGCCCCATTAAACAAGCAGTGTGTGCTAGGTTCTGGTCAGGGGAGTACCACTACAAAGGCAGCCATCATGTATCATCTGAAATACTGAAATAACTTATCATGTAAATTTACAGTACCTGATGCCAATTCAAACAAATGATTACCTTTCTTCTTTGATGGTGAGTCTACTTTCGCTGCAGGTTTTGATTCTGAGGGGGCCTCCACTAATGACGGGTTAGGAAGGTGGTCTGCATCTAACATAGATGAAATCTGAGGAGGCTCCAGGGGAGGTTCGAGAAGTTCTGCAGCAGAAGTTGCACTGCTCATCTGCTTACACAGGGCTCTAGGTTTGGGTTTCACTATGGTACAGACCGTTTCTCCCATGGAAGCATCTTTTTCAACTTCACTTATGAGGTTGTCCTCACTGGGAATTACCCGAAAATGGGTATTTTCGGATGGTGTAATTGTAGCTGTCCTAGGATGATGGTCAGATCTCTCTCTTTTGCTGACCTAAAAAAAAGTTTGTTTAAAAATTAAACTACCTTCAAAGGTATTTGTTATAATCTATTTCTTAAGCTGGATGCAGGTAAATGTATTCATTTTATTTATAAAAACACATTTGGTAAACATGATTTTGTGTGAGACATTTCATAATTAAGAAGTGGGAAAAATAACTGCATTTTTTTCAGTATCATGATATTTACACAAAAGACTTCTATTTCAAACTGCTATACTATGAAGAGTTAAACACCGGAGAAGACTAGGGAAATAAGACAATTTTTAGGTGCTAAGAAGTAGAATATTCATTTTCAGGGAGAAAACTTGAGTGCTATATGAAAATTTAGCCCTGCTTGGACTATATGTCAAGGGTCTGCTAAAATAGTTTTAAAAGTGGGTAGTCAAGTCTCGATGCAAATCACACATATAAGCAAAATGTGTATTTAAAAAAAAAACTTAGAGGGTTCTAAATACTTTCTCTCTCAAGTAATGTATCTTTCCAATTCTTTCATTACGGGCCAAATTCTATGCTGATTGTGCAGATCTACACTGGCCTACACTGTGAGCCTAAGTGAGATCAAGTTTAGGAAAAAAGCTTTCAAAAAATCAATTTCCTATTTAAAACTTAAGTGTAGAAATTCTAGTTTCCTTTACGTACCTTTTAAATGTTCCTAATTAAAATGTTAATTGACAATCAACAATATTTACTAAATAGAAACACACACAAAATAATGCTGGATTCCTTCTGTTGCAGTTATGAAAAACGGTTAACTGGATTTCCTCACATGACCACATGAGGGCACTACCATCACTTATATGCACGTATGCTGGCTCAGAAATCACCCCTCCCCCCCTTTTCACAATGACAGAGACACCTCACAGGTTTTTAACTGGACATACTCCACAGGCAAGTAAACATTAGTACCTTGGTGGACTCTGGGAACCCACCCCACGTCCACTCCATGTGGGACTCAGATCTGAGCAGGCTCTCGGCAGGTTTCACCTCCAGCTCTGAATCACTCTTAGGACACACTGCTGCTGGGGAATAGGGGCTATAAACACAGGACAAAGAAATGTGATGCCTTTTAAGTCAGGGAACTTGAGTCTTGTGAGCTCGACAGATTAAAAGAAATATAAGTTTCAATATACCAACTTTATCCTTCCAATATAAAGACTCTATTGAAGGGAATATCAATTATTTCTTCCATTTGCGTTCTTTAGTAATAATAAAAACACCAACCAGTTATCTATTGAGGACTTGTTGGGTTCTCTATAAACACCTTTGTATGTATTATCCCACTGATTCTCACAAGAAATCATTGAAAAAGGTAATTTTACAGGAGATGAAATGCACAGAAAGACGGGTTAAATTCTAACACCACAGTGTACTGAAGATACCTAATAAATGTCAGCTGTCTTTTCCAAAAAAAAAAAAGATGGGTTAAATTAACATAATACATGAGAGAAACTGGATCTGAACACTGAACAAAGTGTGACTCCATGTTTCTTCACACTATCCACAGTTACAGTTGACACTTTAGGATTAGAATTTAAGATTAGAATTTAAGAATTGTAGAGGGCCAAATTCTATGCTGATTGTGCAGATCTACACTGGCCTACACTGTGAGCCTAAGTGAGATCAAGTTTAGGAACAAAATAATTATTGAGAGGAAAAGTACATATTCATGTTACAAGTACATATTCATTCAGTTCTCTGTATGAGAGAAATGGGAAATATAATTACTATCAAATAACAGAAAAGCTATTTAATATAACTTAAAGAAACTGAGAAATTTTGAAAATACTTACTTGTCTAAAGGGGACCAGTCTCCGTCAGATAAAGGGTAGTGATCCCCAGAATGGAAGAGCAAGGGTTCCTTATAGTCATCTTCCTTTAAGGAAGCATTTGAAGATCCTCTGTGAAAGGAAAAAAACAAAGTCAGGAACAATGACATTATGTCAGCTTAAAAATATCCCAAATCTACCAACACATGTTTAAATGATACAAATGAAGAAGGCCAAGTGATTAATTACTCCTCTTAAAAGGAAAATGAAAAGGAGAAGCGGGATTCACTGATGCCACCCACCACACACGACTGCAATCACTACTGAAGTATGGGATAGACAGGAAGGACAGAAAAGATGTGATTAAAAATTCCCTTTTACAGCCCTTCAAGGTAATTGATTCAAAGGCTAGAAGAGGAAAATTAAAGCTTTATGTATATTTCATTCAATCCTTACAAATCTGAGGTAAGACTATCCTATTTTAGGTATTAAATAATCAAGGATCCAGAGAAGTTTAGTAATTTGCCCAAAATCAAAGAACCAGTAAGTGGCTGAATTCAAAACAAGTAAGCCCTCGTTCTTTCACTACACTCTCCTGTATATTACAGCAAATACAAGACTATGAGCTGAAGACGAGCTATGGTTCAAAAATTCAAAAAGACCCTAAAAACTCTTAAACACACACAGAACTTATTTTTCTTTTTGTATGGACCAAGAATTAGCTGAGAACGTTCTCCTTATTTAGAATCTACCTGACGTGGGGCTATGAGGAAGATGATACAGAAACACGATAAATGCTTTTAAAGATTCATACAGAGACCTCAGAACTACAGGAGGATGAACTAATGCTAATAAGATTTTAATTAATTTACCCTTTGGTTTTCTTGAATTTGCACAGTTAATGTAACTAACTTGCCATATAACCTTGAAAACATCCCTCAGAAGCACTGTGGGCCCTAGTTGTTCATCTTTAGTTGGAAATTTACCACTTTGTCCTATTTCAGAGTCTATATGAGATTTATGTAGTATATGTTGAAAGCTCTGTAAAGTATAAAGAAAAGTACAAAGAAAACCTCTGAAAAGTGTAAAGCACTATACTTTGCAGTTTGAGAGCTTCTTATAGAAAATTCTACATTCTACCAGAACAGATATTCTATGTAAAATGAGAATATCTGTATAACCTAATTTGGCAGACTAAAAACAGAGGTAGAAATCAGTTTATTAACTTTTAATATTGCCTTTCTTCCTTTAAATCCTCATTGAATGTGCTCTGCTTTCCCACTAAGTCTGCCATGTCATAGTTTTTCCACACAGCTGCATCTTCTAACTTAAAGTTTTCCTAACTCTAATTCTTCTGAGAGAAAGAAGATAAACTCTGGCATAATACCTCATTCAAGGGGAGAAAAAGGCAGACATCTAGGTAAAAATACTCTATTTCTTAAAAAATGAAACTCAAACGGTAAAAACTGTAAAAAGGGAAAACCAGATGCTTATGAATAGTCCTTACTTGACAAATCTGAAAGCATAAAACAGCCTGACCCATCACTATTCATGTATTTGAAAATGCTTTAAAAAGTACTATGTGAAAGTCACAGAAACTTATTAAAAATATTTTATTTTTGGAACATATTTCACTGTAGTACAAAAAGTAAGCCCAGAAGAGTTCAGCAAACTGGATTTAGTAAAATATTGAGAGAGACATAAAGTTCGAGATCAGGCACCATTAAGAATTTTAGAACCCCAGGGAAGATATGAAATGGTCTTCTCCGGGCACATTCTGACAAAAATAAATCCCATTAGTTTAGACCTGTTAGATGATGGAAAAGGTTACTGATGTTGAAGTTCCCTTTAGTCCTATGATTCGTTAACTAAACTAAGACTTCTAAAAACTTGCTAATAAGTGCTTTTCAAAATGGTACACATGCCTGAGAACATTCGACCAGCCTAGGTTGACCACAACAGATTAACTTAAACTAAATACATGACATGAGAATAAAAGGGAGTGTAGATACTGGAATGTGAAGACAACAGTATGAACACTGACTACATCTATGTCAAGATACAGGACAAACATATACATTAACAATGAATAGCAGAGAATTTGCAGTAGGGTAAACAGTCTAACACCGAGTCAAGGTTGAAAGAAGTGGGAGGTTCAGCTGCCAAAATTCATAGTAAGTGTATACAATAGAGCAATTCAGCATTCACAGATGCATCTCAACATGACTTCATATTTAATACCATTTTATAAACCAATTATCTTTTCTATTCAAAAACCAAGAGAGGTTACATAATGTATACAACTTTCAAAATTCACTCAATTGTATACCTGCATATTAAGTTCTATGGATGTTATTGTATGTAAATTATACCTCAATCTTTTATTTTTCATTTTTCATTTTTTTTTTAAGATTTTCTTTATTTGACAGAGAGAGAGCACAAGCAGGGGGAGAGGCCAGGACCCTGGAATCATGACCTGAGCCGAAAGCAGCCGCTCAACTGACTGAGCCACCCAGGCACCCCTATACCTCCATCTTTTAAAAGCAGGAAGAAAATCAAAAGGAAGCTAAAATAGTATGAATTATGTGGGATAAATCAGAGGGACTAAATAAATTTTTCTCTATTTAACTGGTGGTACGTTAGAGATAAATGGGGTTGCTAACTACCAAGACCGAAAATCACTAACTCTGTAAACAATGTTTATCCTCAGCCTTAGCACAGCTATTGGTCAATAAATTTCAGTGTGGCTAATGATCTCAGTTTGCATTTAGATATAGGACATTTCTCATAAAAGATGCCTCATAATAGGATTGAAAGGAGCCCTGCAATATTTCTCTGTCTACTGTGTCAGAAATGAAGGGGAGGGTGTGCCTGGGTGGTTCAGTCAGTTAAGCATCTGACTCTTGATCCCAGCTCAGGTCTTGATCTCAGGGTCGTGAATTCAAGCCCCACTTTGGGCTCCACAATGGGCATGGAGCCTACTTAAAAAAAAAAAAGAAAAAGAAAAAGAAGAAGAAATGAAGGGGAGGAAAGGTAGGGAGCTGGCTGTAAGATTCCTGTCACCACAGAAAAACATGGAGGGTTCTCTAGAAGCCAGTTATTGATCAGGAGATGAAGTATGCAGCCTCAGGGCAACAGATGCTGTTTATAAAGTCTTAGGTTCCCTGTACTTAGCTTCTAGGTATAACTTATCAACACATCTGCTTTGGTGGATTAAAAGAAGATTCCCTTTCTGATGATGTGGTCTTAATTCTCCATTTTTTTTAAAGATTTTATTTGTGTGGGGGGGGGAGGGAGGGAGAGAGAGAGAGAGAGTGCGCGCGCGAGCACCACCCAGGTGCCCCTTAATTCTCCATTTTTAACATTGCTGGGATTGTGCTAGAGCACCATCTAATTTGACAGGTCTCTTCCCTCCAAAAGACTACTTAGCCTAGGTGCAATGTTTCCAATACATATACACAGTAAAAATCCATCCATCCTCTGGAAGGACAAACAAGGTTTCCATGCTATATACAAGCCAAAGTCCATCTTTAGGGAGAGACTCACTGGGTACAGTTTACACAAAGCTCAGTGTAATTTAAAGCTCTCCAATTTTCGCCAATGTGTTTCTTTTAGCTGTGCAATAGCAACCCACTTTAAAGAATGATTTCATCTTTCACCTCCCTCCTTCAAGGAGCCTTAATTAACCTTAATTCTATTATCAATGAAATTCTTGAAAAGTATAGAGAATGCTATTTAAAAAGAATGCTATTTATCAACATAAAATAAAAACCGATTTTAGGGGGCACCTGGGTGGCTCAGTCAGTTAAGCATCTGCCTTCGGCTCAGGTCATGATCTCAGGGTTCTGGGACGGAGCCCCGCAGCAGGCTCCCTGCTCCGCGGGGAGCCTGCTTCTCCCTGTGACCCTCCACAGCCCTCCCTGCCAGCTTGTACTTGCCCACGTGCTCTCAAATAAGGAAAAAAAAAATTTAGGTATTTCTTTGGAAACAGAATTTCTTTCCTAAAGTGTAGGGGCCTGAGGATGGGAAGATATTTTAAAGCCGCAAACTTCCCAATCCCACCTAATTTCTACGTTGCACAACTGCAGAAGCAGTTGACCTCCTATTCTTTTTCTGATTCTTTAACCTGTTTAATATGCTGTTAATACTTTTGACCCTAAATATCTTCCCCCCAATTATTTTAGAATCTAGATGCTGAGCTGAAAGGAGCCTTGCCAACCATGTAGTTCAATTCTCTTATTTCATAGATTAAGAAACAGGCCCAGGGGTGCGTGGGTCAGTTGGTTCAGCTCAGGTCGTCTCAGGGTCATGAGATAGAGCCCTGTGCCAGGCTCCGTACTCAGTGGGGAGACTGCTTCTCTCCCTCTCCCTGCTCACTCTCAAATAAATAAATCTTAAAAAAATTAAAAAAGAAACAAAAAGGCCCAGACGAGAGTGATCAAGTAGCTGCTGTTCCACAATCAACAATATAACAGGCCTAGTCTTCTACCTTTCAGCTCAGCACTTATTTCAGTATACATCTGACCTAATTCCCATGACTGTTACATTTTGTCCTTTAAAGTCCTCATTTCTGTTGGCTACATAATTAAGCAGATCCTGTTTTAGGGAAACTTTAGATAAGAGTTCCTCCAAGTTGCAGTATCTATGATCCATGGTAGTCTAAAGAAAAAAGCAAGCCACCAAGCTCCTGGGAATTATTACAATGCCCTAATTTACGTGCATTCTGACATAACTGCTTCCCAAGCGAGCGAGGTTCTGGCTTGGAGGGAGAGTGGACAAACGTTATAATAAAAGACACACACCAATAAACTTTGAGGGCAAAAGTGTTATTTCAGTGTCCTTTCTGGTGGATCTTAGAAGAACTTAGGCAGAACTTTAGGGTCACTTGTGGGCAGCAACTTCTTGTCCAATGCTCATCAATAAAGTTAACCACCCTGCTGACACACATATGGTCCTCTTCCAGTGCCAGAGCAACCACTGAGTGGAACAGATCTAAGATAACCTTTTAAAAATCAAAATCTTGAACAAAAAAATAAATGCCCTACCCCTGTTACCTCTTACACCCTAGGCACTGCTGACTTGAAAACTGGCATATATTTTAAGCTCTTCTACTGAGCTGGTAAGTAAGAATCGAGATTTTTCATTCTAAGAAAAACTGAAACAACAAAAATCTTCCTTCCTTCTTCAACTTACTAGGAATGTTTTGATGATAAACTCTAAACAACAACTCTCAACTTCTCAGAAATAGATGAGATACCAAGATACCAAGTAGGGATACACACCTGAGGCTGCCCAAGGGCCATCAGTAATCCAGATCTTCTCTGCGACTTAAAATTCATTTGGCTTTTGGAAACCTACTGGATGGAAAGACACACACTGCTGGTCTGCTTCAAGTGATATTTTAATACCATGACAGGATGTCTGATGGCAAATTTTATAGAATAGCAGAAAGGAAAAAAAGAGAATGCCTCTTCCACTAATTCCACAATAAACTGCCATGGGGAAAAACGAGTCCAAACCTCACACTGTAGATCCATGGAAGAAACAATAGCAACTAGCCGTACCTGAGCTCTGCCCACAGTATGTGTGCATGCCCAGAACCTGCAGAGAGAGCCCTACCTTGCTGACTGGGCCCCCTTGTCGTCATCAGAGCTCATTTCCACATCCACGGTATCCTCTGCAGCAGCAGCAGCAGAAGCAGTCTGGTCTTCCTTCTTACTGTCCTGTTTGCATTTCTTTCTCCTTCGTTTTTTCTTTTTCACAGAACTTGAAGTGAAAACCGTTTCTGTTTCCAAGATGTGTGAGATGTCTGAATTCTGAGATGGTCTTTCATTTCCACCAGACTTCACCAAAGGGGCATCAGTATCTTTAAAGAACTGATCTTCAGTAGGAATTGGTGAGGTGGCAAGGTAAGCAGGGAGCTTTTCCTTAAAAAGAACATGGAGAAAGAAAAGTTGTCCACGACAAAGTGGAGAGTGAATCAAAAACAATAATGAACTCTTTGTGTATCTAAATTCACAGTGGTAGAAAGAATACACAGTCCCCAAAGTAAGACTGTCACATTGAACGAAGTCACTGCCCACTCTACTCCAAATAGTCTTTACCCTGGCACATACAAATAGTTCATTTGGTCCATGTAACTGAATACATTTGAAGGAACCAATATACCAATTTAGCACAAACCTACAATAACTGTAATTAAAGCATAGCCAATTAAATTCTCTGTAAAGGAAAGTTCAAAGCAGCAGCAGCATTCCGAGGAGGCAGGACAGAGCACTCTGTCAAGAACTTACAGACAACAGTAACAGGATAAAGCATAAGGCAGGGATCAGGAACACCCCATCAGACGGGGGCAGCAGGACAGGTAAGTGAAGTGAGGATCTATGGTAAATGTGTGTTTGCTAAATTAAATGACGGTGGAAGAAAGTGATTGACAATACCCTGTTAACAAATGAAATTAGTGGACTTTAAAATTGTAATGTATTCAAGACAGCCTTTTAGGAATTCAGAAAAAGAAAGTAAGGCCCAACAGTTAGAAATAATTAAGCTCGTGGGGTGCCCAGGTGGCTCAGTTAAGCATCCCACTCTTGATTTCGGTTCAGGTCATGATCTCAGGGTCCTGGGATTGAAACCTGTGTTGGGCTCCATGCTCAGTGGGGAGTCGGCTTGAGATTCTCTCTCCCTCTTCCTCTGTTCTGCCCCCCCACTCACCTGCGCATGTGCGTGACTCTCTCTCAAATAATCTTTAAAAATAAAGAATTAAACTTGTAATTTAATATCAAATAAATGATCAAGTTTGATGTTCAGAAAATTAACTTCTTAGTCACTAACTTCATCCCTTTGTATCATGGGGGAAATGGAAGGTATGTAATAGAGGTATAAATTAACCTCAAAGAACTTTGAGTACTCAAATTTTTACATAATAGTCCTGAAAATGAGTGAGTTTCCATAATTGTTCTAAATCAAGCTTTTGAATTTGGCTTTGGTAGACATATTACCCTGAAGCCAAAATTTTGTTTACCCAAGCAATATTTGTATTCATCAGCAACACACCCAGAGAAACTGTAGTAACAGGTTATTATTCTGCATGCCCCCAGGGCACTCAAGTGAGAGGCTGTGGCCTCTCACTTCCAGGGCCCTTTAATTCAATGGTCCTTGTTATAAATAAAGTTTCCTGGTACTTCTTAAAAGCTGTTTTGTCTCTGGTGGTGTTTCCTAGTTCTGTTCTAGCACTGTCTGCATTGTATGGGGGGATGAAACAACCTAAATCTCTGTCAGAACAAGAATGGTTAAACTGTGGTGCGTCCATACTATGGATGACTGGGCAACTATTAAAAGGATAGGGGTAGATCTAGAACTACTGGCTTGAAAAGGATGCTGACAATATACAGTTTAGATGAACAAAGTTTAAGAGAAACAAAAATCTAAATAAATGGAAGACAGATGGGTTTTGGTAACGTTTATTCCCTTTAAAACTGTAAACTCCTGGAGAGTGGGGGCATGTTATATTCATAGTATGTGACACTGAGTAGTAATTCCAATACTGTTGGATGAATTAACTTTTTTTTTTTTTTTAATTTTAAAGAGCACAGTATTCTAAAGAAAATCTAAACAATTTGAGGATACATGGAATAGGAAAAAGAGGCTGGGAAAGTTGGTACTCTGCAAGTTAACCTTGCTAAGCATAGTTATAAATGGAATCATCAGAACTGACCATGAGAACCAGGTAACTATCAGGAACCCAGTCCTCTCACTTGTTGATTTATACAAAGCCTAATCAATCACTGTTCTGAAACACACATGATTTTAAGGAACACATCAAAAATATTTTATTCTTGTAATAACTCATTTGTTTCATTCTGCTTTTTGCTTCCATCTCTGATGAGGGAAAATCTTTGTTTAGGCCAAGTAAACACAAATGAGGTAACATAAAAACAAGTAATTAAGGTACTAGAAAAAAAAATTGGTCTGGAAAGGTTCCCTTTCATAATCATACTTTGTAATGCTGATTGGTATCTAAATTGCTGGCGTCTCTCTAAACTAAAAATGATGAACACTCTCATTCTGCTATCGTTTATTTTTTGGTTAACATTTTTCTTTGTGAATTTATGACATCCAACATGCAGTTCATCTTCAAAACCCCTAAAAGCAGTCCTGTATCTTTAATAACTTGAAGGTTATAATTTTTGCTGAGATTTTATGAAAAAAGTTGTAAGGAAGTCTCTTCTAAGATCCACACTAAGTCTATCAAGAACAGCTCATCCCCATTCACATCAGTAGATACGAGCTGTGGGGATGGGGGTGGCAGAGGGAACTGTGCTTTCTCACTGAAAGAAGCCAAACATGCAATAATCAGTTAAAAAGATATAGGCCAATTAATTTAAATCTTTGAGATCATAATAAACTAATTCTCAAGACTATTCAAGGTCAGAGATCCGACATCCCTAACCAAAATGGTAAACACATTTTCCAAGTTCATTTTTTTGAAGATTTTATTTATTTATTTGACAGAGAAAGACACAGTGAGAGAGGGAATGGAAGCAGGGGGAGTGGGAGAGGGAGAAGCAGGCTTCCTGCTGAGCAGGGAGCCCGATGCGGGGCTCAAGCCCAGGACCCTGGGATCATGACCTGAGCCGAAGGCAGACGCTTAACAACTGAGCCACCCGGGTGCCCCACATTTTCCAAGTTTAAAGGTCACAGATGTACAAACACACAGCGGGCAGAGATAGGCCTTCATTATTTAGGGAGAACTGAATGTATTCAAGTCAAGGTGTAAACTCTAACAGATACTAAGTAAGAAAGCTCATTAAAGACAGAGAAAAAGAGCAAATGCAAAGGCGTTCTGCGCATTCTCTGTACCCTGACACTTGGTGGGGAGAAAAGTTCCTCACTCCTCTAGCTCCTTCCTGACAGCTTAGTTTTTCAGCCTAAAACTAAAGCTTGTTTAACCTGTAAAAATCACCTCTATAACCGTGAAAACTGCTGAACATTTCTGTTTTGGGATAGGTCCTGGAGGCCTGAATACACTGTGTAAAGTGGATGTAACCTACTAGAACTTACATATTCCTCTTCAGTCTCCTCCACAAAGAAAGCTTCCCCATTGTCACCCAACTTCATGTGAAGATCCACTGCATCGCCATTGATTTCTATATCAATCTAAGAGGAGAAACAAAGTGTGATTTAGTATTAAAACTTTCACTGAACCTAAACCAAGCCAAACTTAGTACTGAGGTTCCTAGGCTGACAGTCCAGAGAAACAATGCTACCTGCCCTACTGTCCTACCCTAAAAAACTAAACAGATCTGGGGAGGAAGGGGATGGATAAGAAGGGACTGAAAGAAAATGTTTTATCATTTATTTTTAGAACATAAAATATTTAATTTCCCAAATGGCATAAAATAGGGGAAATATAATTGTCAAAAAACATTTGAGCACTTTCAGAGTTATAGCACAGACAGGCCTCACCGGCATGGTACAGACAAACACAGATTTCAGTTACTGTGGTATGTTAACTGTAACTGCAGAAAGCACAAACTTCACTGGCTGCTCTTCTGTCTACAAACCACTACATAAAAAATAGATGCCAATCATGATCAGTAATCCATCACATCACTTTTCAAAGTCTATTGGTGACTAGTCAAAGCACGTATGTTATTCAGTTCAGGCACAGACAGCAAAGCTTATAGCTGTAGTCGTCTCCTTGTCTCTCATTAATAAACCCATGTGACATTTTATAAAAATGGATAATAAAGAAGAAATTGGCCAAGATCAAAGTGCAACCTAACCTAACAAAAAGTAGTATTACTGGAAGTAAAATTCAAACTGAGTGTCAACAGTTACAGAAGAAATACCTGACTGCAGGAATGGTGGCCCTGCTGCATTCGAAAGACTTAAGATGTGCAGCCAGAGGAACCTGATGAAGGTAAGCTTATCCACACAAAGGAGGAAAGTGGTTGTGACAAAAGGAGGAAGATAGCCCAGAGGAAGTGACACAGGAAAAACACTTCACAGTGAAGGAACTCACAAACATACTTCATGATAGCAAATGTTCCAGAGATGAAAACCTGAAAGCTGATCCAGACTCAGAAAAGTTATAATTTGCCAAGACAAAGAAAAGATGCTTGTTCCATATTACAAGTTTTACCAACTAATCTTGGTAAGTTATTTTACAAAGACATAAGACACTTTAGTCCTCCATGTTTTTTTTTTTTTTAAAGATTTTATTTATTCATGAGAAACACAGAGAGAGAGAGAGAGAAGCAGAGGGAGAAGCAGGCTCCCCACTGAGCAGGGAGCCCGATGCGGGACTCGATCCCAGGACTCTGGGATCATGACCTGAGCCGAAGGCAGACACTTAACCATCTGAGCCACCCAGGCGCCCCTAGTCCTCCATGTTTCCAATGTTTTAAATTGGGGTGTACTAAACATCATTTTGTTATTTTTCATTTTCTTATACAGTTATAACAGAAATTTTTAAGTTTTGACAAAAATTTATAAAAATCATGAGAAAATCCTAATTTTTCTGTTATTAAGTTTGTTTTGCATGGTTTCAGCTTGCCCAGTCATTATAATGATCTGTACTACAATGCAAAGTAAGAACTGTGTGTGTGTGTGTGTGTGTGTATAAATACTACTTATCACTTAAAAATAATGTAGTTGTTCATCTGTTGACTGTGAATAAATGCCTTTAAATACCTTATAATATTAAATGAATACTAACTTTCAAAAAAAATTTTTAAGATATTTATTTGAGAGAGAGAGTGAGCACTCAAGAATGAGCAGGGGAGGGGCAGAGGGAGAAGCAGACTCCCTGCTGAGCAGGGAGCCTGACGCAGGGCTCGATCCCAGGACCCCGAGATCATGACCTGAGCTGAAGGCAGATGCTTACCTGACTGAGCCACCCAGGTGCCCCCCAACTTTCAAAACTCTTACAGATAAACTTGTAAACTCCAGTTTTAGATTGGTTCAGGGGACATAAAAATATAATATAGGTATAAATAGAGCAGTCCACAATCTAAGTGTACTTAGCTTTGCAAGGCCCTGATGGTGGGAACACCTGCATGGTCCCCTGGGTTTTTCCCAGTGAGGACCAATTATCCCTTCTGACACTGAGTGCTGGGTCATATCAGGTCACTGAAGGTCATTAACTGACACATGTTGTCAAAATGCTTGTTACAAATATACGTAAGTAACATAACCACACTGCAGGGTAAGGAAGAAAACTAGCCTAAGTGGAAAATGGTATTTTGACTATTTTAACTCTGAAGACAAAAAACAACAAATACCGTAGTAATTAAAAAAAAAAAAAAAATCAGACATATGGGTTAGCAGTTCTGAAATTATTTTATGTGTATTCTAGGATTGAACAAATAGGTAAACATATTGTATAGTAAGAGGCGTTTCTCACTGTCAGAGAAAAAAGTCACAAATAAGGAGATGAGGAGGAACCTTCTGGTGATGGACTGGAATCAGTGGGAACTCATGATTTTTACAGACAGATGTAGGTACGTGTATCTACATACACAGATTTTTCCAGCTCTGCCCACTGACAGGGCCTAAAAGCAATGACATCTCAGTTAGTAATGAGCAAACCTAGTGACTAGATTCTTTGTTTCTAGATACCATTCTCTAATAAGAGGAACCATCGGTCCCCAGAGAAACAAAATAATTCCAGGGCTGAGGCAGGTAAAGTGGATTCTTCTGGAATATCTTATGGTGCCAGAAAGTAAGGAAGTGCTCAAAAAAATGACGGGAGCATTTCAAAAGGACTCAACTTGAAGGAGCTAACTACCAATTGCCAAACCTGGGACAATTTGAGAAACTAAATAATGATAATAATGGATTATAACCCACAGAGTAAAATTAATATTCAGAAGTCCACACTGATCTAAATAACGAATAAGTAGAGAAAAGGATAGCTCTTCAATACAGAATTTCAATTAATAAATAGAGTAGGAAGGATGAAACAGAAAACCATTTGGCAAACACCACAGTAATAATTGTTGCAGGCAAAATTCATCAGTGTATGGTAAAATTCACGGGTTGAAGTACGATGAAAAACAGGGTATTTGCACAGTCTCTAAGTTTCTTCACCAAATAAATTTACAGTGAAGAAACCCAGTAGATACCATTAACCAAAGGATCAAAGTTAACATCATCAGTAACAAAGCATGGCACCATGTTGGGCCTCCTGAGATGATGCACTGAGAGGGGTACACCCTCACTCTGCGTTCTTCCCCAAATGAGAAAACATCACACAAACTCAAACTGAGGGACAATCTATATAATAACCATCTGTACTCTTCAAAAGTCAAGGTTGTAAGGAAAGATAGAATGGTTAGAGAATATAAGTGAAAGCAATGTGGGATCCTGGATAGGATCACAGACAAAAAGACGACAGCAGTGGGAAAACTGGCATACTCATTCTGATGTACCTTGTAAACTGGTATCTAAAACAATACTCATATCTATATAGTCATACTTCCTACCCTGTGGCTTAATCTTACTCAATATATATGACAGGGCGCCTGGGTGGCTCAGTTGGTTTAAGCGACTGCTTTTGGCTCAGGTCATGATCCTGGAGTCCCGGGATCGAGTCCCGCATCGGGCTCCCTGCTTGGCGGGGAGTCTGCTTCTCCCTCTGACCCTCCCCCCCATGTGCTCTCTCTCTTTCTCTCTCTCAAATAAATAAAATCTTTAAAAAAAAAAAAAATATATATATATATATATATGTGACAGATGTTGAAACAGAACTGATTTGCTTTTTAGAAATACTGGCTGTAGGGGTGCCTGGGTGGCTCAGTCAGTTAAGTTGCCAACTCTTGATTTCAGCTCAGGTCATGATCTCAGGGTCCTGGGATTGAGCCCCATGTTGGGCCCTATGCTCAGTCAGAGTCTGCTTGAGATTCTCTATCTCCCTCTCCCTCTGCTCATGCTCACTCTCTCTCTCTCCCCCCCACCCTCCCTAAAATAAATAAAATCTTAAAAAGAAAAGAGAAGAAATACTGGCTGTAGCAGACTCTTGTTCTGGCATGCCATTCTTCAGGTAAGAATATCTCTGGTGTGTCCTTTGGGATCTATTCATCATCTGTTTCAGGTGTGGCTTCAAAGTGAGGAGGTGAGGCTGCTGTCCATGCCAAGCCAATCAATATATTCCATCCCAGCTATCGGACCAGGGAGACTGACAAGTCTGACAAGGAGACTAAACATTGATGCTTCTGTAGGAAGAAAACAGCTCTTTCTACTACGGTTGCTGAGTTCCTGGGAAGTAAGCCTGGAGGTATTGTGGCCATCTTGCCTTAGAAAGCACACACACAAAGGGATGCAGAGCTGAGAGGTGGGAGGAGACAGAGTTCTGGTAACACCCCCAGACTCTAAATAAAGCCCTGATTAATTCAAATGCCCCTGGACTTTAGTTATACAAGCCAATAAATTCCCTTTTCTGCTTAAGCTAGTGTGAGGTGGATTTTTGTCACACAATGGAAAATTCCTAATACACTGGGTTATTTAACTTTGATAAGTAAGCTTTGTGTTAGATCAACAAAATTAATATCTAAAATATCAACTGCAGGTTGACTTTCTGAAATTCAACTCTTGAGTTATGAAGTATACTGGGAGTACTGGTGTTCTATCAAACAAGAACATACCAATGACAGTGGGAAAATTATTATTATTTCCCTAACCAGAGGCTTAAAGGTGATTATGATTTCAAGTCTACTTCATAGGTGTCTCCATAACTGGGGTCTTACTTTAAAATCAATGAATAGCTTTCCCTAATCCAAACTGACCTAAAATAAGACAAATAGTTAATCCAAATTGCCTGAGTATCTCAAGGCAGACACGGTTTCGGTTTTACTCTCACAGGAAAGCTGTGTTTCGGTTAAATAACCAAATTTCCTTTCAAACACATCCTTTGGATTTCTGGGATATTAGTGCAAAAGAAGTAATTTTCTCTTTTCCTGTGTCTCATGGATAGATTCCTATTAAATAATCCAAGGGTGAGACAAGATATTTAACACAATCATTTGGGCAGCCTTGTACATAAACTGTACTACATCTTAATTGGAAGCATACAGCATGTAGAAAGAGGTATGTTGTCTGTCCAGACACCATTTACAGATACACAAATGCTTACACATACAACAGCCTGCAGATTCCATTCTGAAAGGCCAGAAGACTTAACCAATCTGCTGATCAAAAACACAGATCACAGAAAAACAAACAAAAGTGCCATATAAGCCATTTTATGAATAGATCCTTGCAAAGCTAATGGGAAATTTCAGGGCATAAACAGTTTTGTACAGATTCTCCCAGAGCAGATAAAGTCTGAAAGTACTATAGGTTAGTGTTACTGGCAAGAAAAAAAAAATTCCAAGAAGCCTAACTGTGGCCAAACACTGTTTTGCAATGGGCAGTTTCCAAGTTACTAAATGAACTGCGTGACTGCTTTTGGTTTCCAAAGGGTGACTGAACAGAGGCCAGACCACACAAACCCTGCCACCCTGCAACGTGGCTCTCCAGTGGAGAACTGATTTATAACCCCTAGAAAAAAAGATGTGTTTTGGTGGGGGCGGGGAGGGCAGGAAGGGAGAATATCTAGTGCTGTGAAAACTGTAAAAGTTTTCTTCCACTCTCAAAACAACCTATGTTTAATTAAGATAGAAATTTCTATTTTAAGGAATAAGATGTTTCCAACTTATGCCAGTGGTCCTCTAACACATAGTTCTGTGCCCCAATATGTTGTGAATCTTTCAAAATCCTGACAAAATCTCCCTACATTGTTCAGGTAGATAATGTGGGGTAAGAGTAGAAAGGAAAACTACCACCATGTACCTGCAAGGTTTTATTACCAGCTCAGTGTTCTAAACTGACTGACATTCAATACATTTACAAGCCTTCGCAGTGCTCCATTACTTGAAGGTGGAGAATGTAAGAAAAAGGAAAACCAACACAAATTGTTTTCTTTCTGAATCTTCCCCAAAATAAATAAAAGCCAACAAGCCTATGGCATGTAGGTTTGCATTTAGTAAGATCTGGAGACAAGTCCTGGTATTAACTAACAAAATTTAGATACAAATAAGATTTAACAGCTCTGTCAAAACAAATTTGGCATGAATTTTGTTTAAATAAATGTATTCTGGATTACATCAGTCTATCCCATTCACAACTGGTAGGAAGGCATTGCCCTAAATATTTTATAAAATTTTTTTAATTTTATTTGCCAGAGACAGAGAGTGAAGCGCACAAGCAGGGAGAGCGCCAGGCATAGGGAGAAGCAGGGTCCCTGCTGAGCAAGGAGCCCAATGTGGGACTCTATCTCAGGACCCTGGGATCATGACCCAAGCCAAAGGCAGACACATAGCCAAATGAGCCACCCAGGTGTTCCTTCCTTAAATATTTTAAAGTGCTGTATAAGGTAAAGAAACTTTTCAAAGACACCTAATCTTCCCCATTTATAACTCCAGTTTCTCTATTTTGTTCTTCTGAGTTGCAACAAATAGGATTATCAAGATAATTTTCAGCCTTTTTTGCCCCCTTGGACTTTCTATAGTAAGACTTATATTCAGCAGCAACTTCAAAATAACACATATAGGTTGACTTCTTATACCATTATCTTCAACATCATACAGGTGTCCGTCCCCCCTAACCACTGCAGCGGTCGGGCGAAGCCCGGAAAGCACATAAGAACAATTTATTCTGTTACCATCTAACCTTTCACCCTCCTTGAGAACAAGCTGTCCCCTGCACTCACCACTTTCTCTTTGGATCTCAGGACCCCCAGCTTCCCAAACCGAACGTGAAAAGGCGAGCACTGATAGGTGCCATCCTGCTGCCGCACCACAATGACGTCGATGCACCCGGACAAAGTGGCTTGGTTAATGCCCTTGTAGAGTTCCTTCACAGTGACAATCACCTGCCCAGCCAGCTGTCCCACATAATTCATGGTTTGAAACTACAAAGACAAAAAAAAATTTATATGAGATAGTAACAATGAATTTGTGGATCTAATGAAAAAGAAAAAAACAGTAGTAATTAAAAAGACATTGCACATTTGTAAACCATATTACATATTTTATTAACCTTGCTGATTTCGAACCAGTAAGTCTCATGCTACCACTGTTTTTACGTATTTCCACACAAGGACAAAATCAGGTGGTCCTTTTGTATCTGGAGAGGCTGTCCCAGCCAGGGCCTCAGGCATGCGTAAGTTCTTTTCTTTTCCATCATCATGGATCCTGCAGCTGCCTGTAGGGGTTACCCCTAAAGTTTAGAATCTGCACAGAACCACCAAAGAACCCAGACTACCAACACTGCCCTCTTGCCCAAGATCACTGGGAACGTGGGGCAACTGCATCCACCCTGACCACAGCAGCCAAGCAGAAAAAAAATGACCAATGATCACCTCCAGAAGAAACCAGAAAACAGGTTGTTTCTGCTGAAGACAAGTAAGTGAAAGATGAGTTTTCTACAAAACTATTAATAGTATATGGGTCAGAGACATGCTAGATTAAATAAACTCTGGGTGAGCTAGACTGGGCCTAACCTATTTATAACATTACTTTTATTGAAAATCCCCTCAATACTTGAACACAACTCACTGGAACATGTATTCATGTTCTACAAAGCACAGAATTGGGTTTTAATCGTGTTGCTCAACAATAATTAGTCAAATCAGGATCAGTAGGCTCTAAAATACTCCTCCAGAAAGGGTCAAGGAAGGAGTGTGCACCTGACCAGGGCTGAGGGATGAGAGGAAATGCTTCCTCTTGTGCCCCACATCCATTGTGGCTGCAGCTAAGACCACAGGTTGGGGAGCCCACCATACAGTAGATGTTGAAGACCAGTGGGGAAGTCTCTTTGAATCTCCCTCAACTTTTACTAATTAGAAAAAAAATAGCTCATCAGTCCCAAGGATGTCAAGTTTCATCTCCAGCTATCAAATACCACCACGTTTCATTCATTAGACACCGACACCCCTAGTATTATGTCAAAGCACAATTCAGCAAATCATTCTCCTAGGTACAGGTGGGACATAGACCAAACAAGAGATCCTCCACAGCTCCGGCTAATCCAGAGGCCAACTTTTACTGAACCAGAGAACAGACAGATTATTCTTTAGGTCATCCATCATAAGCACAGTTGTCTCTTTAAACTCAGCTTTTCAGGAGCCTTAAGCTCAAAGTTACATGCTCAGAAAAGTTACCAAAGATCACGTTCTACGTTGTCAGATAAGTCCAAAGCTGAATTGGGAGAAAGAATGTTACTCCACTGGGAAAACTTAGGGGCCTGCCAGGACATCTGCCTCTAGAGAAACTCACCCTACTCCCCACAATTGAGTGAGTGCCTGCTGGCAGTACCCAGATTCCACTTAAACATTTTTTTTCTCCTCTTCTACACAGATCAATGTGTAATCAAGACCCACCAGTTTTATACCATTAAGCACAGCCACAATTTTATCCCAGAAAATTTTTTGAATATTTTAATGTTACCAAGGCCCCAAAATTTATCTACAGAAGAGATAACTTTGAGGATGTAAACTAACTGCTAAACTCACTACTAAATTAGGCCATATCCTTTACAAAACAGTTACAAGTTGGTGTGATTTTGGTTTTAGAAGGATTCATTTGGTAAGGCCAAACTAGGCAAGTGTTCAATAATGATTTCTTCAATGAATAAAGGAATGATCAAATGAACCATCAATAAATAAGACAAAAAAAAAAAGAAACATATGTAGGGAAAAAGTATTTCATCAGAATATTCATATTACATCTCATTTTTAAAAATTAGTAATTTTTGCAGTAACTGTAGATTCACAGGCATGTAGTTTTAAGAAATAATACAAAGAGATCCCATGTATCCTTTAAACCAGTTTCCCCAATGGCAACATCTTGCAGAATTCTAGTGCAATACCTCAATCAGGATATCAACATGGATTCAGTCAAAATGGAGAACATTTCCATTATCATAAAGAGCCATCCTATTGGCCTTATAGCCACACTCAGCCACTTCTGTCACTCTCTCCTTAATCCCTGACAACCACTAATTTGTTCTTCACTTGTTTTGTCATTTTTAAGAAAGTTATATAAATGGAATCATATGGTATATAACGTTTTGTGATTGCCTTTTCCCACTTCTATTGCTATGGAGATTCATCCAGGTTGCTGTAAGTAATATATGCTGTAAGTAATATATGTTCACGACATGCTTTTTGATTGTCACAGCATGTACATGAACCACCACCCAAGAAGTCAATCTTTGTATTACTGCTTGACTAGTGGCAATTTAAAAATGAGTTTTGTTAAAAATTTTTAAAAATTTTGTAACTAATTATGTAATTATATATATTCTTTTCTTAAAAGAAAATGAAAAATGTTAACTTCATCTCCATTCAGCCATAAAACAAGTCTTAAAAACTAAATGTGTAAGGAGCTTACATCAACTAGAACATAGGATCCATAATTAAGTGTAACTACATCTATTCAAAATGATTTTAATTACCATGGTTAAAGGAAGCGCTGTTATACAAGACAGTCTACTGGGTAAATGCCAGTTTGCTAAATGTAGAAAAATATACGCTATCAAATGACTGGTTTTTTTTCTTAGCAGATATAAAACAATTTGGTGTGTATTATGAAGGCTGGAAAAACAAAAGTAAAGGGAGTCCTGCGGCTCTAACATTCGCTACACCCTGGGAATGAGGGGCACACTTCTGCTAGGAGGGGCACTCCAACTAAGCTGGGGAAGGGGGCTCCCCCTCATGGTTATGTCTGGGGGGAAAGCAGTTGGTTGTTGTACACATGATATGTTAAACAGCTTCTTCTTTAAGCATTATCTATCACCAAAAAACTTCATTCCTCTATGTCCAGCCCAGCACTAGCCATAATAAAGCTAAGTGAGAACAAATTCAGGGCCTCTGACACCTGTCCTGTTCAACGCCTGGGAAAGTGGGACTCCGAACAGGGGCAGAAAGAGAGACGATTAAGTACCCAGTCACATGTCAGGGATACACCTCACTGAAGACACTACCTTTTGAATAAAACAAAGATTAAAAAATATAGCAAAATAACATACATTGTAAATTATTCATTAGAGCGAATGATGAGAAAAAAACAGGAGAGAGAAAATAAATTCAAGAACAGACAGGGACAGAGAGTAAGAGAGAGGGGATGCAAAGACAGACAGATGGAAATTCAGAGACAAAGCAAAGACAGAATAAGAATACATACATAATCAGAAAGCAGATGGACATAAAGATGCCCATACAGACAGAGGAATGTGGAACTGAAGGATGTTCATCGAGCAGCATCCCTATCTTCAGGCTCACAAGCACAAAAGAAAATATAAACATGTATTAACTAATTCTTAGAACTGAAAGTATCTAGTCCAGTCTTTCAAATACCACAAGCACTTCTAGCACATCCCTGAAATATGGTAAAGTTAATCATCACAGTAGCAGCAACTAATTTTTTGAGAGCTTACTATGTACCAAATTCTTAACAATATTTTAAAGGCAGGCGTGGAGCAGATGGAGGGGGAGAGAGAATCCCAAGCAAGCTCCATGCCCTGTGCGGAGCCAGAGCTCGATCTCACGATCCTGAGATCATGACCTGAGCTGAAATCAAGAGTCAGATGCTTAACCCAATGAGTCACCCAGGGACCCCACTATGTATGTACCAAAATGCATTATCTCAGAACTACCTTATGAATAAGTAAATATTATTTCTATTTTTAAAGATAATAATATTAAGGCTTAAAAAGGTTAAATATTGTTATGGACTATTTGTGTCTGTTTCTCAAATTCTTATGTTGAAGCCCTAACCCTCAATGTGAGGGTATCTGGAGATGGGGCCTTTGGGAGGTAATCAGGTTTAGATGAGGCCAAGAGGTAGGACCTTCAAGATGGGATTAATGTTCTCATTAGGAGAGCTCATGTTCTCTCCTCCTACTATGTGAAGAAACAGAGAGAAGGTGGTTGTATGCAAGCCTGGAAGTGGGCCCTCACTAGGAACTAAAATTGGCCAGCACCTTATCTTGGACTTCCCAGTCTCCAAAAACTGTGAAAAATAAATGTTGTTTAAACCACCCAATCTGTGGTATTTTGTTATGGAAGCCTGAACTAAGACAAGTTATCTTCTTAAACATCATAACTGCCCTACTGTTTTTCAATGTTAGGGTACTTCATTGACAAAGACTCACTCCTTTCACCAAGAAGTTCATAACTGTATCAGACAGCCCTAGTTACTACGTCCACTAGAACTCACAATGGATATGCGCCACCCTCTTCTAAATGATACCACTTACACTGAAGAGTTTGTTGTTCAACCATAACTAGGTCTCATCTATTCTGGACTAAACATTCTTCTTCCTTAAAATATCTAAAATGACTGGGTTTATTTTCACTTTTATGACAAACCAGAGAACTTTAAATGGGAAATCCAAAACTAGACACAGTGGTGCAGATAGACCTGACTGATATACAATATATACAATGTGAAGTGTGTTTAGGTGCAGGCACTGGCTCCCATGGGCTGGGTTAAATATTGGGAGCTCCCAAAAAAGGGAAGCACTTACTGATCACTAAACTAAAAATGGAAAGAGTCAGAAGACACTAATTAACTAAAATACTTATCAGAAACTAAATGGCCCTTTATGCATAAAATTCAATAGATCTGAATCAGTCCTTCATGAATAAAAGTCAATAGTGTCCACTATCAGATTTTTCTTATCAAATATTTTAAAGTAAACATACACTAGTATCTGGAATAAATGAGTAGCTTTCAAGATTCAATTACTTACCAAAAATTTAAAGATTTGTTTAGCAGCTTTTCCTGAGCATCAGAGAAACTAAATAAACCATCATGATATGTAGGAGACATTTATAAATGGAATCCATCAGTAAATAGGTTCAAGTACAGATCCTCTTCCTATAAAAACTGCCCCAAATTATTTAAA